TTGGAGGCGGTAATTTTGCTCATGGCGTCCGCTGCAAAAACAAATAGCAAAGTTAATAAAAGTCATAACAAGAAATGCACGGAACAATAGAGTATTCGACAGGCCGGCTACCTCTCAAGAACCGACTGCTGAGGCCACAGGCGGCCAAAAAGTACTCGTCGTAGAGCCATTTGAAGCTCGGGACGCAGTGCAGGGGTACTTGCTCTCGTACCCCTGAAGAAGAGTTCACCTTCGACTCTACTTTGAAGAGTCCTTTATCTAGGATCTCTTTCTTAGCCTTGGGGAGAACAGGAGGCATGCTGCGGCCGCCTGCAAGAAGGGGCGGATTCCTGTTCCACCTGTTGAAGCGCTTGTTCAGCTCTGTGTCTGAACTCTCAATGATAAGGAAGGTGCTCCGCCAGTCCTTCCATTTGTTTGCTTTACCTCTCGTCATGAGGTAGCCCCTGTGGCTCGTCAATTGATACTTGCCGGTACCGCCTGCCTTAGGGGTCCGGCTGAGGTAGTTCATGTGGGCGAAAGCCTCGAAGTTCGGCTCCACCCCGTGCAGTTCGCACCTGGCCACATAGCCGAGCACGTTTACCCAGGATTTCGGGGCTAACTGCCATAACCCCAACTCATACCCATCCAAGATCCGTTGAACAGCCGGATGTAGTGGGAAGCGCAGCCCAGCCTTGATGGCCGCCTCGTAGCAGCCAAAGCAGGCGCCATCATAACTGGTACCAGCCAGCCAGACGACTGTATCTTCTGGATCCGGCACGAACACTAAAAAGCCGGGGTCCATTGTGTGGTTTGCGATAAAGCTCTCCACTTTCTCTTGCATGGCCGTGATCCGGCCCCGAGGTACCGTGCAGTAGTAGGGGGTATTTTTCTCTCGGTGAGAGGCGGATGGCTCCGCCCAATCGTCCCCCTTCTCAACTGCGTGAGAAAGCCTCGCCTCTTGTAGGCGACTGTTTTTCTCTTCTGTGTCCAGAGAAGCATGGCCAGAAGAGCTAGACTCGGATTCGTCCTCTGACGAGTCCGAAGAGGACGACTCCTCCCCTCTCCCGGAGGGGCCCGCCTCCTCCCCTTTAAAAGGAGCAGGAGAGAATGTAGAATTGTCAACTGTAAAATGGGAAGGGGTCACTTTGACTCCTCCCTCAGAACTGCCGGCTTTCAAGCCGCTTTGTTTCACTTCCACATCTGGCGCCTGGTAAGATGTTTCACTAATCGGCACCCTGTGGGAGGAGCCGTCTGAGTTTGAGATCCTGGCAGTCTTTTTTGTTCTGGCCATCATGCTCTGCATAGACACAGATACAGTCGGACTTTGTATAAAGGGCAAAGATGGGTCCAGAAAAGGGCAGGCGACCCTCCTAGTCCTAGATTCAGCCGTCCCCGGTGACCGGCTGATCACTAACCTAGGTCGTGTCGTGTGTTTCCGTGGTGCCATTTCAAAAAAGAATAAAGTAAAGAGAAAATTAAGAGTAAGAGAACCGACGGTTACCTGAACGAGTGACGATTGATGAAGTTCTGAAAATCCTTTGCAGTCGGCTTGTCAGAGCAGGCGGTAGGCAGAAAGGGTCCAAAATGTCAGAGCAAGTTCAGGGGTACGAATGTTCTCTCACAAAGTTTTCAAGTGTGAAAATGACCGAAGTCAACACTCCTTTATATAGGCGAAGTGAGAAGGCGAAGGATCACTTCCAGAATTCAAAATTTTGGCGGGAGAATCTCTCGGCATCTCGCCGAGTGACACCTGTAGCAGGCCGTCGCCTGTTACAGGGCGACACCTGTCACAGGTAACACGTGACCAGTCACGTGCCACCTGTGAGGGGCAAATGATTAGGGGATTTTTCTCCCACCAATCGGAATGCGCCACGTGGGCCAATCAGGTCCTGCCAAGTTTCCCCCAGTTGGACCCCTCAGGGCTTGCCACGTGGCACACGCTTATTCGTCCACCCTGGACTTATTATGTCATGACACGTGGCATACTCCATGCCTAATGGAGAAGCCGGTCACCTAGGCCCAACTTCCGAGGGAAGCCCAATCAGCCCAAGGTTAACCTAAACCTAGATTGGCACGTTTCCCGAGGTTATAAATACCTCCCTTAATCCTGATTAAGGGAGATTACGCAGATTACACACATTAAACACTCTCACCTAAAGAGACCCAATCACTTTAATTTCCGCATTAATTACTCCTTAATCAAGTACTAACTTGACCGTCGGAGGCGAATCTCCAATCATCCGGAGCATCCGTTTGTTTTGCAGGTACAGGCGTCCGGTTCCAGTCTCGGAATTGTAACTCTCCCGCAGGACATCAGAAAACCCCGAAACAATAATATTTTATATGTTCATAATGTAAATATTCATACTAAATTTATGTTGTTCCTAAGTATTCTCATTAAGTCTGTTTATGCACATGTTCTCTTTTTTAAATGCATATGTTCATATTTTTTTAAGCATATGTTCACTTTTTAAATGGTTATATTCACTTTTATGGAAACCAATGCTTACGTTCATATTTTGAATTGTTATGTTTACTTTCTGAAATGCATATGTTCATATGTTTTATGTCTATGTTCACTTTCTAAAAAACCTTCACATTTAAGGGAACCTATGTATATGTTTATATTTTACATGATTATGTTCATTGATAAAAAAAATGCAGAAAATCAGATGAAATTGATCGAAGCTAAAAACATTTAATTCATTTGAATTCAAAAAATCAGATAAACAACCAATTCCATATTGTAAGGAATAGATTCAATTGTTAAATCGAAAAAACGAGAAAAATAGAAGAAAAAAATAGAGGAAAAAGGAATTAAAGAAGGAAGGAGAAAAAAAGAGTATGAAATTTTGAATTCAAAGATTCATATAAACCTTAATAAATCGAAATTAAAGCACACAAAATCGAAATTCACACAAAAATTCATACTTACTAACTACTTTCATGTTGTAAGAAACAAATTCAATAAAAAAAGTGTAAAAAAGGGGGAAATTAAAATAAAAAAAAACAGAGGAAAGAGAAAATAAAAAACGAAGGAGAAAAATAGAGGAGAAGAAAACTAATGTTCACTTTCTCAAAAGCTAATGTTCATATTGTGCTGTTGTTACACCTATTTCTAGGTGCATGAGTGTGCATCTAAGAATATGCGTATCCTCTTAACTCGGATTAGCGGACTAAACATTTTAAAAGTGAGCGGGGAAGAGTACGAGAATCTCCAACCACAAAGTGTTTCTAGTGGGGTTAGATCTCATAACCAAGCTTTGCCACTAGACAAAGCTATACTTAGTTTTTTTTTTTTTTTTTTTAATTTATTATTTTTATTTAATAGCTCACTCTAATTGTATGTGTTTTTTTAAGTATTACTCCGTATATTATAACAAACTAGAAATGTTTTACCACGTTATGATGGGATCAAGCCTTACTAGAGATAAATTGAGATGGGAAATTCCTTGCCCTTCTACCCCACTCTCAAATTGACTTGCCCATGCACTAATCCGAGTCAGGTTGGATTTGTGAGAGGTCCCGGCCCAATAAGACCTTTCTCCTTACCTATTTAAAAAATAAAAATAATAATAATAATAATAATAATAATAATAATAATCCCTACTTTTTTTAATTGCAACATTTTAATCATCACAGAATTTTATTTATGTATATACTCGTAGTTGATTTGAATTTGTTATATTTATACTTTATTATTAAATTAATAACTTTTTATTAATTGTGAACCCATATTTATAAAAATATTATGCTGATTTTTTTTATTTATTTACAGTTTTGTCACTTAATATGAAGGTGACAAAGGGAGGCTTTCTAGCTACTTAGGGTGCGTTTGGTTCGCTGGTTTCAGGAAAGGGAATGGGAATCATTCCCTTTCAACCTGTTTGTTTGCCACTTTTTCCCTCAATCATTCCCCCATTTCATTTTTCAAAATACCCCAAAACCCCTCTTCCCCATTCCCCACCCCCCCACTTTCCCATTCCATTCCCCACCCACCCTAACCCTAACCCTAACCCTAACACTAACACCCATATACGTCGGTGGTGGTCGGACGGCGACTGTCGGCGAGCACCGGGGAGTGGTCGGGGAGGCTCGGCGAGCACCGGGGAGTGGTCGGCGATGTGGTGCTGTGGTGGAGGAGGGAGATCGAGCGTTGGGGAGGGGGGCTGGAGCATCGGGGAGGGAGTTCGAGGTGGTGCTGTGGTCGGTGGTGGTCAGCGACCGTCGGCGAGGGGGGCTAGAGGGTCGGCGAGGGGTCAGCGACCGTCGGCGAGGGGGGCGCGACTGTCGGCGAGGGAGTTCGAGCATCGGGGAGGGGGGCTGGAGCATCGGGGAGGGAGTTCGACGGTCGGCGATGGGGGCTGGATGGTCGGCGACGGTCGTCGACGGTCGGGGATGGGTCGGCGACGGTTGGCGGAGTTCTGTGAGGGTTCGGCGGCGGTCGGAGCTGCGCTGTGGTGGTGGTGCTGTGGTGGAGGGAATGATTCCCTGGTTTTTTGTAACAAACAACCTTCCAAATTTTCCACTTTGCCATTCCATTCCATTTCATTCACGTTGTTCATTTCATTCCGATTCTCTTCTGTGAACCAAACAGCCCCTTAGTGTAATGGGTGCTAAAAAGTGCACTTATAGGGAAAAAAAGAAGAAGATATTTTTCTCCATATGGTCTACTCATTCTAAAGTACAAACGGAGTACTCCGTAATAGTGACATGACCAATTGATTCAATGCACAAGTTGATAGTATGCCAAGTTGATGAATGAACTTATGAACCCACCCATCTTAATTAACATTAACTGTATAAATCTATAATTGATTCACCTTGTTGCACTTGCAAGTTGCATAAATGCCAAATATTGTTTATTATTTCCTTCATTCTAAATTAGATGCAGAGTAAGACATTTCTTTTATCACGTTTACTTAGATAAATATTTTTAATAATATTATATAAAAATATTATAAATTAATTTTTTATTATATACATATTGAAACGAATCTAATAAGATATATTATAAATTATAAATGCTTCTCAAAATTTATTTAAGGAAATCATGGGAAATTATATTTGTGTCACCATTTCTAATATCTTGTACTACATTTTAGCTTTTCAAAATTTCATATCTCAATATGTATATACTAAAAAAAAAAAACACCGGTTTCTACCTAACAAGTTCACCCTGTACTTCATAAAAATATACGAGTATACGAAATAATATTGAGACCATGATATCCAGTCTATTATTTTGCGGCTTTTTGTGTGTAGAATTAGAAAGATCCTCGTTAAGTTCTTGGGTTAACCCGACTCTTTGATTGGCCACAACAATAAGACGTGTTATATATTTTTCTTTTTAACTTCTTATTTTGTTTTTTAGTTCTTCTTGTAAAAAAAAAATAAATAAATAAAATTGAGACCATGATATAGAGAAGCTTATGAGAATACTTTTTTTTAGCACACAAATTAAGCAGCTTATGTTAGGTGTACTTTACATAAATGGATGATATTGATGCTCTGTACATCTCTCATCATCATATCCAAATATCACACAACTGAGACAAGTGAAGGTAGCCTCATCAAGCGTCGTCCCTCCATCACACTGTAAAGTGTAAAATGATCATTATTAAGTTGATTTTAGATTTTATATTTTGTTCAAAGTAAAAAGATTGAACAATTTTAGCTATGTGTATTATACATATGTACCTCTTGACGTAGTAATAACAAAAGTCTGCCAAGATGAAAGTTTGAACTAGCTCAGCAAGAGGAGCCACTAGTAAATATAGACGTCCCCTCCCTATTTGTGTTAGGAGCGATCCCTTGGTGTCAGTAAGCTGTAGGTAACCGCAACATATACGGGTTAATATAACGAATATGAAGTAATCATAGACACGCAAATTTCAATACATCATACGTATACTCATAAAGTCATATAATGGTCTCCTTTTGTTTGAAATTAATTGTTATTATTGTATCCTAAGATTCCTAACCTCTCAATATACAGATTTTGTTATTTCAACATGGCTTTATTTAGAGATTCAATCAAAATCTAAATCTTTTACAGAAAATGTAACACATACATATAATACATGTGAATATGTGATACTAGATTATTATTATCGGATAAGGGACTGATTGAGGGAGTAGTTAAGTACAGTAAAACATTTAAGAGTATAGAAAATCATTTAATTCTCGTACACAAAAGAACGAATTAAACCATTCAATTCAGCAACAAAATGACTAATCACATGTAAATATTAATTAATCTCATGATAATTGAAAAGGTGGTTTAGAGAATGAAGAAATAACATAACGTTATTGATGGAGCAAAGTAAAAATAGATATAATAAGATGATGAATAGCATTCTGACCATAATAATCCAATTAGCGAAAGAGAAGAATCTTGCCACACCCAAAGCAAACACATAATGGCCAGTAAATGGTTCAACCATCTGCAACACAAATTTTAAAGACATAAGGGAAAAATGTCTAATTGATCATCATCTACATTAATGATAATATAGCCAATTAGGAAACTAGCAAAACTCCATATAATAATAATAATAATAATAATAATAATAATAATAATAATAATAATAACGATCAGTTCGAATTGAGCTTGATTACGTGACCATTAAACAAATGAAGTAATATTTTCTAGGAATTTTTATTTTTCATGCTCGTAGTTACATTTTTGGTTTACAAGTAGAGCTTTGTTGGTTCTAGGAAAATGTAACTTCTCGTGTTTTTTTTTGCTAGCTATATAATTGTACAAACCTTGGCCTTTTGTATCAAATGAAGCTGAGGGAGCACAGAAACGGCTTCAATTGTCAAGCCATACACATAGAAGAATCTCCTCACAAATTGAAATTGCTCCCTGAAAAAGTTGATTTGCCATGCAGGATGGCCTATCACCGCTACAGCAGCACAAGGCACCAACTGCCACCACCAAACATGTAGATCATGTTATTATCAATTGTAACCAAATAGATAAATCCTTTTCTACACTTTCGCGCTTGAAAAAACTTCATTTAATTTGGAACCTCTACTGCATATATCCTTTGTAGCATTTTGACTATTATTGTCGGTAACATACTTGATTATTCATATGCGTATCTTTTACTTCTTTTTAGAAATCTTAATAAATAGATGCAATATGATAATACAAAAATGACTAAATGAATACGAATAATTTTTGTATAACCGATAACATATTTTTTTTTTATTAGTGCAAAAGTCAACTTTATTCAGCTAATATAATACGATTAGAGAAGTACATACTCTCTAACTCCTCTTTTCGCCTCATTTAATTGTTATATTATTGTCATTTTTTGGTGGAATTTTTATGAGACGGAAGGATTATAAATTTTAATAATTAAAAAAATTGCGCATTTGAATTAAGAACAAATTAAATATTTGTATAAGTTGTATCTACTTACCACATAATACAAACTGAAGTTGTCAAGGCCTTGCATGTAGGTGTACTTTAATTTATAACGCATCATATAGATCACCCACATAGTAGATCCAAGAGTTATAGTATCAAGTACAATATTTATATTGCGTACTAGCGTAAAATGGCTTATAATTCTTATGATTAAGAATATCACTGTAAGTTCTTGAGTCTTCAATGATAGACCTGTTAAAACCAACAAGGATCCATTAATGCATATGTATTTCAATTCAATCCATTAATTTCTTTATTAATTATTAATTAAAAGTAAAAAGAGGAAAGTAATTTTAATGGTAAAAAGCCAAAAGCCAATACTAAAAAGCTTAATGCTGTGTTTAGTAACCAGCTTATTTAAGCAAAATAAGCTTATTTGACCAATATTAGCTTATTGACGCTAACATAAATAAGCTTATTCCACTAAATAAGCTCTTTTACAAAATAAGCTCTTTTATAAAAAGCTCCTAAAAACAAAAGGAGCTTTTTCAAATAGCTTATTCAATTATTATGATGAAATGACACTTATACCCTCATGTGCTTTAAAATCCTATATGAACTACCTACCCCACAATTAGCTTATTAGTCATTTCACATATTCAATCAGCTTTAAACAACCAGCTATTTACCAAACACTTTTATACAATCAGCTAACAAAATAAGTTAGTCAAATCAGTTAATACAATCAGCTAGTCAAAATCAGCTAACACAATTAGTTTTAGCTTTCAGCTTTAAGCTTTTCACCAAAGAGGACCTAAAACTAACTTTATATTTTTGGCGAAAAAACTAACTTTTTAGCCAGCAAAAAAAAACATTTACCAAACACTTTTTTTGGCTGTTTGACCAAGATGAAAAACCAAAAGCTAAAAGTTAACCAAAATCTCAAATAGGGTAATTGGACAAAGTTGTTAAATAGTGTATTAGTATGTGTGATGTAATCAATTTGGAGTATATTCATTTAGTTATTTATGGGACTTTAGATTATTATTTTCGGATCAGAATTAAATCTCAAATAGGGTAATTGGACAAAGTGAAATGTTAGGTTACACACCAAGCTTTAGACTAGTACATCACTTGAGTAAACTTTTTATTTAAGGTAAATTAGGCTTATCTAATAATGTCATACATATATACTATCTTTCCCTTGTTATGCAATTTCAGTTCACCTTAACTCAACAAAGACCCACCATTTTTTCCCACCTCAACGAAGAACGATATAAATTGCTAATTATATCTTACATTTTCACATATCCCACCATTTATTTCCTAAATCGTTATGCTCAAGAGATATAGTTAGGGAGTACTTGAGCAACTATTAGAAAGTATGTCATGTTACTTGATTAAATATGTCATGTAAGAAAATCACAGCTTTGAGCAGGATACACGTCAATGTATTAACTGAGCTATGAAAATACAATGTGTTAAGTCTGACTTTTTTCAAGTAACACCAATATTTTTGTTTTTGGTAGCTCAAGACTTTCAAGTGACAAAAATATCATAATGCTCATAAATAAATAAGAAAAGGATAATTTACCAATTACTATCGCAAGTTAATACCACTTTGTAAATTACTACCGCAAGTTAAAAAAGTTGTGAATTACTACCGTAAATTTTTTTAAGATGTTGCGATTACTACCAAACCCCCATTAAACCCAACTATGACGTAATCCCTTTAATCCATGTTTGACCATGGTTAAGGGCTTTAACCAGCCCCAAAAAACCTGGTTAAGGGCTTTAACCCATGTTTGACCATGATTAAGAGCTTTAACCATGGGTTAAAGTGATATAATGACGTCATAGTTGGGTTTAATGGGGATTTGGTAATAATCGCAACATTTTAAAATTTTTTGCGATAGTAATTCACAACTTTTTTAATTTGCGGTAGTAATTTACAAAGTGATATTAACTTGCGGTAGTAATTGACAAATTTTCCATAAAAAACATTGTCAATGGACATATAACTTTATTATGTCATATATTACTCATATATGTGTCCATCATGTAATAAACAATAGAATTTTGATAAGTTATTGTCATCCTTTTATGGCTTTAAAGTAATTATCATTGATTTAATAAAGAGTTGAAATTAAACTATCCTTCATCTTATTATCAAGATAATCTCATAAAAAGAGTAGTTCTTTCCTTTTCTTACATAATTAATTAGTTACATGCTCCCGTAGTAAGTAGAGTCGAATCCATGTACTAAAGGTGGGTAACTGTATCAAATCACGTAATCTAGAGGTTAATAATTGATTTCCTAGATAGGGAGAATCGTAACAAACAATAAAGAAAACTAATTTTACATCATTCAAGTACAAATTAACAAATCTAAATGCATAAATTTAGTAGCCAAAAACACCTAAACACACCTAAAACCCACCCAAGCAAAAAATATACATACACAACGGTCACAACCACAGTTGAAATAAGGTTCTACCACCACAAAGGCAAAGTGGCAACCAAAGGAAAGAGATGACTACTTCACCCACTTAAGGACATCTAATGGAAATCATAACAAAAAATCTCATATAGAAGTGAAGACAACGACTTTTTTCTCTTTCAGTAGATTTTTGTTGTAGTTTTTTTTTTATGCAAGGCTAAAGATCATCCGCGGAGGATATACATAATGTAGGCATTTTCTATAGGAGAGTACATAATCTTGCCAGTATAGTTAACAGAAATCAGATGATGACTTCTTTGTTGACGATTTTGAAAAAGTTCGAAATCTTTAAGTCTACCAGACAGAGCTGAGACTGAGAGCATACAAATATGTCTTGGCTGTCACATATACACAGAGAATATGGGAAATACAGTCTTATGCTTTACCTCTTCATTTTGTTGGTTAGGGGACCGGGGAAGGGGCAGAAAGCAAGAGTTTTACAAACTTATGTATCTCCATATATTTACTGCTGCAGCTCTCAGCATATCCTGATCTTACACTAGCGAAGGTAGTCTCATCATGCGCTGTCCCTCCATTACACTGTATCGTAAATTCCATGAACAGGTAAAAAAATCAGTGCAAATCCTTTGATCAGATATGACAAAGTGTAATTTTAACTAACAGCGTGACAAATGACACTTGAATAAGGAAAATAAATCAGTGCAAATCCATTAATCAGTTATGACAATGCAAGTGTATTTGAACTAACAGCATGACAAATGACACTTGAAATAAGGAAATTTTTTTTAGTGCAAATCCATTTATTAGTTATGACAAGTGTAATTTGAACTAATAGCGTGACAAATGATGGGAGTTAGAGGCAGTACTGCAACAACAGATTGACGGATATAAGCATTATTGAGGAGTTTGTATACCTCTTGACGTAGTAGTAACAAAAGTCAGCCAAGATGAAAGTTTGAACAATCTCTGAGAGAAGAGCCACTAGTATGTAAAGGTGTCCATCTCCTATATGTGTCAGGATTTCTCCCTTGCTGTCAATAAGCTGTACGTAGTTTCATCATATATGGTCAGTCAAAAAACCGTAGACAAGTTTCAATACGACATATTATAGAGCATACTAATCCTGCAAACTAGAAATCATTCATCAATAAGTTACCAATGTGCTACCGTGATTTTCCTAAAACAGTGATTCAGCAGATCAGAAGAGCAGATACTGATAATTTTCTGTCTTAGGTCAGTTACTTGTGTGTGCATTTCATTGCGGTGAGAAATATGCGAAACATTCCAAATGATCAGAAGTTAGCATATATACACAATCAACATTAGTTTAATGCAATAACAAGATACCTGCCCATTACGGAGCTGGGGCTTGGGGCAGGGGAGCCTGTGTGCTAATTCACAAAAGATTATATGGTAGATTTGACAGGATCCATGATAGTGTTTGAATTAAATAGGCAAGTAACATACGCGCCAGGGGAACAAAAAATAGGATTTATATTCGAGAGCATCAAGTTATTTAAGTATTCTGCCAATCATAGATTTCAATGTCTGCACTCCTTATATTAGTATGAATATGAACAACAATATAAATGCCATAGTAATCTCATGAAAAGGTAGGCTATTAAATAGAACACTTAAACAGTAGAATGTATGATTGAATGGGTGTATGCTGACCATAAATATCCAATTTGCGCATGAGAAAAATCTTGCAACACCCAAAGCAAAGACGTAATGAGCAGTAAATGGTTCAACCATCTGCAACACAACATTTTTGAAGATGTTAATATGGAAATTAGAGAATGCTACTAATAATGCGCTTAAGCAAAATGATATGACAAAAAACTTACTCTCATATGATTAGATTGTAAACCATATACAATTACTCTTAATAACATTGACGATTCAACTATATATCAAACTCATATTAACATTCGTAGGCTACATGCCAAGAATCGAATATTGACACAACTTGAGACCAGTTTTTGCATGATAGACAGCAAGTAGATCATCATACTTTCGATCTTTTGAGTTCAATACTATTCAACTTGTGGCCAATTTGTTTACCTACATACTCAAACATGCTTTGCTAGAAATGTACAGCTCAATTATGATCAGTACATGATTCAACTCAACTCACTATCATTAACATTCCAAGTCCTAATTCACACTCTTACTAAAACAAAAAAAAGAAATTTTATGGTTTTCATCCAACATATGAAATGAGCTTGTTTAAGAGACAGAAACATTATAGAACATATTTACAAAGTATCAAAACTAGGAAAAGTACTACTAACCTTAGCGTTTTGTATTAAATGAAGCTGAGGCAGCACCGAGACAGCTTCAATTGTCATAAGATATACAAACATGAATCTTGAGATAATGCGAACTTGCCATCCAGGATGGCCGATCAATGCAACAATGGCACAAGGCACCAACTGCAAGCAGTAACCAAAATCTGTCATTATCCTTCATGCTATATATGTTCTATACTTAAGGTTAGTAGAGGAAGAGAACAAGAAGGTGTATAATAGTGGCCTAAATAAGAAATCGACAATTGGCTTACCACATAATACAAGGGCATGTTATCAAGCTCTTGCAAGTAGGTGCTCTTCAACTTATACCGTATCATGTAGATCACCCATAGTGTACATCCAAGGGTTAGTGAGTCAAGTACAACATGAAAATCGCGTAAGACACCAAAATAAGCTATGATTCGCATGATTAAGAATATAGCGGTTAGCTCCTGAGTCTTCAATGATAGACCTGTAAGATGATCATTATGGATATAATTCATAAATATATATTATTAGAAGATTATGTTATATATATAAAGCTGCATGATTAAGACACTAATTGTACAAGATAAAGATACACTTTTTGTTAGAAATTTATTTAAAGTGTAGATGAACAAAGATTATTTGATTCACATTTATGTGTCTTTGCTTGTTAATTTTGAAGAAATCCTGAGAATTTCTACTAATTTACTAAAGGTTTGGTCAAGACTCTGCTATGCCTCTATCTGGCGTAGTCCCTAAATTATAGGTCACATTTGACTTCGACGGTCAAAACATAAAAATCACCGTGTATAAAACATTTAAACCTAATTAACTATATTCTCTTTACCTATTTTTTACCAATTTTACTGTTTTTTTTTAAAACTACCAATTTACCAAATTTACTGTTTATTGAACTGGGGTAATTATAACACAATGCTGTAATTAACATTATAATCTATCTATACTTAGTATTTAAAAAAGCAAACCAAAAAATACATATATCATCATTCTATTACACTTCCCTATTTTATTCTTCAACCTAACGTGCTACATGTCATTTTACCTTTTTTTTTATTTTTTATTATACAATTTTTCTTCACTCTTTCATTAAATACTTCATCTTCATCTCCCCTTTTTAATTCAAACTTTTTATTTTCTCTCTTTGATTTTAGTCACTCGATCTTCTTTCTATTAAGTCTCATTTCAAATTAAAGTCCCAAAATATTTATTTCTTTAATTATGTTTTTAGTTACATATTACACTCATAATTATTTATTGGTATTTCCTCACTCATCTCATGCAATTTTCTATGAACAATCCGTGCATTGCACTGACCAGAAGGCTAGTTATAAATAAAGATGTAAACTTTCTACTTTTCAACAGCTACTAGATAAAGTTGATAAGCCAAAACAATGACTCACAAGTCACAACTCAATGTCTTAAAAGTTAACATAATGATCTCTGAAGTAAAAATTCTAGTATCGCAACCCTTAATTATAATAAATTATTACCATATATTTTCTATTTGTTTAATATTTATTTTTTTGGATCCAAAAACCCTCATATATAATTTATGTTTAATGAAAACAAGTTCAAATTAGTTATTTTGAAAATAGACATTGACACGAATCAAACAAAATTTGATACAAGACGAGCATATATATTAATTCGTTCTTATACACTTATCGAAAGAGTATATCAATAAAGATTCCAAACACGAGGAACAATTAATTAAAAAAGAAAAATTAGGCAAAAGTTGGTGCAATTAAAAAAAAAAAAAAAAAAAAAAAAAAAAAAGGAAAAAGGAAGTACCTGAACAAGTTTTGGTGATAGATAACTTGTAAATCAAAACTAAAAGACCAGCTGAATGAGCAATTTGACTATTTGAGTAATAATAAACAAGTTATTTTGTCCTTTGACAAAAACCTTGAACAAAACCAGCAACATAATTGCTGCTATCACTCCCATGGTGACTTGCTCCCTTACCGATCGGCTTCGAACCCATCTTCCTACTCGCTTCACCGCCGTCGGTGTTAGTGTCGCCGCTCTTTTATCCCCCATACTACTTATTCCGGTGGTTTAGGAGAGAAAGAGTGATCAAAGTTGGTGTACTTTTTGGAAAATTAGTTGATTTGGTTAAGTGAAACACTAGAGCTTATTTAAGCTTAGTGTGATTTTTCTTTGTTGTGGTGAGGACAACTGACTACTGAGTAATGAGTATGATGTTGGAAGTGGACTACGTTAATATACGTGACATACTGAGTAAGTCATAAGATGACACATGTTTGTTATTCCCAAGTTGATAGGTTTTGATTTTTGATGGGACCTATGGACGTACAAAATATTATGGGACGAATATAGTAGAGGAAAAAAATGTCTAATTGTTGCGAATAATATGTAACGGAAGTAGTACTTTATTCGTCCCATAATATTGTTTTTGTTACTCTATTTTGGAGATCTAAAATGTTATTTATTATTATTTTTTTTAAATAATATATAAAGATTATTATGCTCTTACTTTTTTAAAAACTTTTTTCATAACTTTTTAATTTTCCTTTGATTTTGCACATGTTTTGTATTTTTTTTTCCAGTTTTTCTCTCTAACTTTTATCTATAATTGTACTTTCACTTTTATTAACGTACTTCATCTACTTGCCCCTCCTATTTCGTAAATACCATGAAAAAACACAAATAAGAACTATATTATAGGATAGAGGGAGTAATAATCTATTGAGGTGTGTACACGAATATATATATAAAAAAAAAAAAGTAAAAAAAAAAATCGATTATTATTAAATGGAGGTAGTAGTATAAAAGTGGGTGGTATAAAAGGGTGGGAGACGATAATAGTGCAATGGAAAATAGCAATCTAGAGCTAATCACTCTTGACTTTAATTTGTTTTAGACCTGAATTTTTAGCAGTAATTGGGCCAGTCCTAGCCCAAAATTTTAGGTATATTTGAGCGTTTAGGCACCAAAGCCCAAATGAACCTCGTATGTATTAGCCCAAAACTGTTTTTTTTCAAGCAATATCACCCTTTTCCTCTGAGTTTTACTTCAACCAACACACTTGAATGTTTGCAAGGTTAGTACTGTATTTTACATAGATTTGCTCACTTTTGAGTTTTTGATTGATGAAGGAACTGAGACTCAAATCATACATACAAGTCTTATTCCTTATTGTTTATTTAGGGGTGTACATTGAGGCAGCAAACAAACTTGAGCATTTACAAGAACAAAGTTTATGGTTGCAGCTCCCAGCATTATCTGCCCTGATAACGGACCCTAGACTCAGACCAGTGAAGGTAGCCTCATCATCCGCTCTCCTGCCATCACACTGCAAAAACCATTGCCTTATAAACATCATGCTGACAAGCTACAAGAGCAACTACTACGACACATAACAGCTACTTTTGTCGAACAAACCCATAAATTTACATAGCTATATGGTGTCTACATGGTAGATGTTGTCAATCAGACATCAGCCTATGTAAATGTAATTTTCTATGTTGAATCAACTTGTAACATTCAAATCAAATCTTTATATTCTATGTCCCTTGGCCTAGGAATAAACCTTAATTGGTCATCAACTCTTTTATACTCTGCCATATATTTTATACACTGTCAATAACGTAAAAAGCATACGTAAAATTTAGAATGAAGCTAATGTACCTCTTGACGTAGTAGTAACAAAAGTCAGCCAAAATGAATGTTTGCACCACCTCTGCGATAAGAGCCACCAGTATATAAAGTTGTGCTTGCCCAATTTTTGTCAGGAGTTCTCCCCTACTGCCAATAAGCTGTATGCAATTGCACGATATAAGGCTATATAAGTTTCGTTGAATAATCTTACACAAATTTCAATTGGACATGAACCATACAATTCAAAATTTTCACTCCTTGGGAATTTCTAAGGTATGCATTGAGGCCTTGAGGGTGGTATGTATGAACAAATTAAATGATATACTACACCATTTGTAACAGTAAATGTATTCTACGGAGTATAAGACTTGTATCCTCACCATATTTATCCAATTTGCACATGAGAAGAACCTTGCAACACCTAATGCAAATACATAGTGAGCAGTAAATGGCTCAATCATCTGCGAAACAGAAGATGGAAGGGTATAAGAAGAACGCGTTAGATCATATAGGGCTACCAATAAACAAATAAGCGAAAGAACTTGTAAAAAGTAATCATTACTCTGTAAAACATAGAAGATTAAAACATCGTACAATCAAAATACAAAACAAGAATAAGTACTATGGAATGGAATATAATTGAAGTTGAGGGAGCACTGAAATAGCTTAAGAGAGATTAGTAAAGTATTCGCAAAGTAAAACAGGAATTACAGTACCTTAGCCTTTTGTAGTAACTGAAGTTGAGGGAGCACTGAAACAGCTTCAATAGTAATATAGTACATGAAAAAAAACCCCAAGATAATGCCAGCTCGCAATCCAGGATGCCCGATTATTGCAACAATGGCGCAAGGTACTAACTGTCAATCGAAAATATAGCATGTCAAATCACTATATGATCATCTTATGAGTAAGATAAGTGTGTTCAAGGCAATAAAAATGAAGTAAAGCAACAAACTAAATGAAAAAAGCGAAAAATAAAAGATTGAAAACAGAACAAGAAAAAAAATATTGCTTACCACATAATATAAAGGCATGCTGTCAAGTTCTTGCATGTATGTGTTCTTTACTTTATAACGCATCATGTAGATCACCCATAGAGTACATACAAGGGTAAGGGAGTCAAGAACAACATGTATATCGCGGAAGAGCCCGAAAAAACATAGGATTCTCATGAGTAAGAACATTGCTGTAAGCTCCTGAGTCTTCAATGATAGACCTGTGAAGATTGAGAAAGGATACATTAGTATAGTCTACTAGAAAATTAAGGTATAATCTGTGTTACAGAGCTCTTTGAATGGATGTTTAGTTAGAGATCTTTAAAATGTTGGTCTGTTGGATGAACAAAAATCATCTGATTGTTTATTTGGCTGTCTTTGATTTTGAGCGAGATAGGAAAGGTGATTAGTTTATTTTCATCAATTATCATCTCTAATCTCCATTTAGGAGCACAAGTCCGCAATCGGGGAAACTGTAATTAATATTATTAACTTACTTTTTCCGTGTCTAAAAATATTAGTTACTTTTTTCCTTTTTATAGTTATGCACAAATTAGTCTCATTACTTTATTCAGGGTGAAAATCGATCTTAGGATTACTTGATATCGGGAGGAAAGATTTAACCACTTGAGTTATCCCCTACTCTCGTATAAATTTTACAGTACTTGGTGTATAACTTTTTTTGACAGGAACTACAACCTTTTATAATAACCATGTATGTGCGTGACCCAAAATATTATCCACCAAATTAAACATGTGTTTCACGAGTGTTTAGTTTGCTATGCATCGTGACAAATGAGATGGGACCAAATCTTGATTATCAATTTATCATTACCATTATTTTTTATTAAATAAACGATAACAACTTCACTTGTCTTATCTGGATCCTTATCTTCTTCAGAAATCAGAACCCTACCAATTAATTAAAAGAAAATAAATATGATATTTGTTGCATCATTTTTTTTCATGGTCTCTACTATTCAGCTTAAATAATTAATAATTTCATATTCATAATTATATAATAATATTTTATGAATTTACCGACATACTAAATTGATGATATATTAGTAAAAAAAAAATAAGGTTAAAATTAGTTTGGTCAGAAAAGTGAATAATCCAATTAATAAACATAGGGAGGAATTAGAAAAGAAATAACTTTAAGTACTGTAATTTTCATCTTCTTCAATTCCCTGATTATTTTTTCTTTAAGAAGTGCATAATAAACATTGTGCACAAAAAGTATACAAGTGCTTATGTACAGTATTAAAAAAGCTACAACAGATAAGTTCTAATTAATTGCAATAAGTAATGACTAATAATCATATTACACGTTCTTAATCTTGACACAATGTTATATTTTATATGTTCTGTTTTCATGATATTATTTACCTGTATATATTAGCAACCCTTGTAGTGAGTTAGTGACTCAGGAGCGGGCACGGTACGGCTACTGCACAGTAGCCGACTAGCCGTGTCGTCCCGACTATCATGTGGCACAGCCTATGACATTAGCTATGATGCCTAAAGGACACTTGCAAACCAAATGAGGCGTATCAACATAAAAAGTGGTAAATTAAAGAAAGATTACGTACCAGAACAAGTCTTTGTGATAGTGAGCTTGTAAATTAAGAGTAAGATACCAGCAGAATGAGCAACTTGAGTTGCAACAAACAAATAAGTTTGGCTTTTAACAAAAACTTTGATCAAAACAAGCAACACAAATGCAGCAACCACTCCCATGGTCACTTGCTCTCGCACCGATGGGCTTCGAACCCATCTGCCTATCCTCTTCACAGCCACCGGTGTTGCGTTTTTGTCACCCATTGTTGCTTAGAGTTAACAACTAGAATTTGCCAAAGTTTTGTTCAAAAAAAAGTATAAGAAAGAATTAATAAGGGAGAGTTAAGGGTCACTACAATTATATAGTGAATGTGAATTGTTGGTGTGGGTCTGCCTAGCTTCAAAGTTGAGGATGACATTTTTTTGTTTTCCATTGTTATTTATTAATTAATGAATTTGATAGTGACTTTTTTAGATGTGACTTTCATTTATTATTGAGGATTTATATATCCATCGAAAATAGTTGTTACATTAATTAGATATTCACTGTGTTCAGAAATACGAGTAGTTCTGTATAATCTCGGGTTTACTTACTTCAAGTACATAAGGCACACTCAATTGTATAACAGAGACATTGCTCGTATAAAATAATTTACACAAATTAGGTGCCTATTCTTCTATACTGTCAAACAGAGGCCAAAAACATACATTTCGTGCTGTCAATAACACAGAATGTATGGACCAAAGCTAAGAGCTTAGAAAACTTTATCCACATCCATGACAAAGTTTACATTAGCAATTCCATATAAATCCCATCATCAGACCATTGAGGGTAGCCTCATCGTTCGCTGTCCTTCCATCACACTGTAAAACCAAATTTCTTTTTTAGTTTATGTATTTGACCGAAGAATTGAATAACACAAATGCATTATATCAGATTAATAGACCAACTTTATCAAGAAATAACAGTCGTCACAGACACTTAATTGAACCAGTAATGCGACAAATTAATACAGTTGGAGATATTTAGTACGGAGTATTATTTCGTATGAAGGGATGAATATAAGAGTGTTTAGGAGTTTAGTTGGTATACCTTTTGACATAGTAGTAACAAAAGTCTGCCAAGATAAAAGTTTGAACCACTTCTGAGAGAAGAATCACTAATAAATAAAGATGTCCCTGCCCTATTTGCGTTAATAATCCTCCTTTGGTATTAATGAGCTGTTTGCAGTTACAAAATAAACAGGGTTATCAATCAAAGAATTGAAAGGTTAACAGAAAATGTAGGCAAGCTGTATCCTAACCGAAGATATCCAATTCGCGCATGAGAAGAATCTGGCAACACCCAAGGCAAAGACATAGTGAGCAGTAAATGGTTCAACCAGCTGCATTACAAAAGAAATTACAAAAGAGAAATCAGGATTCACAATCATGTACAATTCTTTACTGGATGCATGTGAAAATTTCAGAATTACTCGGCTAGGATGAACTAACTGAAAGTCTGAAAAAGCGACACAAAAAAATTGAAATACAAGAAAGTAAGAAACAGCAAATACTACTGATACACAATTGTGCCTGCATCAGTATGCCTGTACTGCACTACTGCGTAAGAAGTGTATAAAAATTCGAATTCAGGCTGAACTGTTTATCTACTTATATTCAAGCTTAAATGGGCTTCATTCATCAAGTAATTGGCTATAATATTTAAAGACTTGATTCTGAACAACTAACATTCGAGTAAACTCAACTCATGACTTATGTGACTCTTACTGCATCGTTATAACAAATAGGACTATCCAAATTTTCATGTCACTACTGAAATGAGCTTGTGCTGAGATTGACTTTCAGGGCTGATAAAGGGTATACAAACTTGTTGCAAGGTAATAAAGCTGCAACTAATGAATATATGATACCTTGGCCTTTTGTATTAAGAGAAGCTGAGGGAGCACTGAAACAGCTTCAATTGTTGTAAAATACATGTAGAAAAATCCGGTGACAATGTCGGATTGCCATCCAGGATGGCCTATTAATGCAACAACGGCACAAGGCACCAACTGTAAACACCAAATATACATATTATTATTTATGCTATGATATACAAATGCAAGATGCATGAAACAAAATTTCATACCACATAGTACAAAGGCATGGTGTCAAGCTCTTGCATGTAGGTGTTCTGTAACTTGTATCGCATCATATAAATCACCCACAAAGTAGATGCAAGACTTATAGAATCAAGTAAAACGTGTATTTTGGACAAGAGTGTAAAGTAGCACATAATTTTCATGATCAAGAATATCACTGTAAGCTCTTGAGTCTTCATTGATAGACCTGTGAAAATCATCATCATCAACGATTATTGCACACATACTTATTACTTTGTACTTAGATGGCTCATATAGCTTGTGGCCTCGGTCTATAATCAATATGGTAGAAAAATAATGACATAAGGAGTGATGGGGAAAGACAAGGGAAAGATCAAAGAGTTACTTTGTATGTTTTAACAGTGTTGTAGTAATTATTTCTTAAACAATCAACAAGAATCAATCCTTGAACAATCAACATTTTCGTAGTTTAATAAAATTGGTTCATTCATATAAAGATCACGATAGCAACACCTTTAGCTTGATTTATCAAATGATTACATACCAAATTACAATCAATTCTTGCAATGCATTCAACAAGCAACTAACATAACAACCAATAAATAACACAACTTACCAGCAAATTAAAAGAGGAAATCATATAATATAAAGATTATAAACTTTTCTAGTGGAGGAAAAAGAAAAGAAAAAGGAAGTACATTACCGGAACAAGTTTTGGTGATAGTGAGCTTGTAAAGTAAAAGTAAAATGCCAACAGCATGAGATGTTCGAGAAGCAACAAACAAATGTGTTTCTCCTTTCATAAACATTTTCAACAACACCAACAACGCCAATGCTGCAATTGTGCCCATGCTTACTTGCTGTCTCATCGTTCGACCACGAACCCATCTTGCCACTTGCCTCCCCACCGTCGGAGTTGCCCCCCTCTTGTGACTCATTAATCTCACTTCTATGATTCTTTGGTAGTAATAATTTGATCAGAATGAAAGAAAAATAGAGGGAGAGAAATGGGATTTATTGGTTGACTTAATAATAGAGAACAACCATAAGCCATGTTAACCACTACATAAATATAGATTATAATGAGGTGAGGTTGACTTCATAAGCCATGTTAACCCAAGTTTTGGTATTGGGTCATGTTGGTGGGCTTGGTTCTCTGGGGCAGCCAGAGCGTTGGTGTCTATTTTATTCATGCCGGGCTGACCATTATTAAGCCCATGTGACAGATGTGTGAGCCAATTTGGGAAACACGGCCCAGGCCTACGTGTCATTTAGAGTTGAACACTTTTTTTGTGGGAGGACTCGAGAAGGGTAGTTTTGGAAGAAAATTCTTGAAATATACGATTCAATCACCAAGCTTGGTGAAGAGTTTCTCTCTAAAAGAAAATTGGCACCCTTTCTCATGGATACAAATGAAAGGGAGAGTAACATACTAACATGAACATGAATATCATGTAAAGTGTAATCCTTGGAGAAAAAGTCAGTAAAACAGTAATTGCACCTTTTCATTTCTAGCATGAAGTATACAACAATACAACAGCTACTTTCAGTTCAGGTTGAACCTTCTTAAGTTCCAATGACCAACCCAACTTCACTAACTATTCTACTTCACAGTTTACATAAGCTAATGTGGTATGAATTACACAAATTGGATGCTCACTTCCTTATTTCTGATAGCCGACAGAGCAAATCCTTATTTTTCACAGTAAAAATAAATAAAATAAAATAAAATCTGAGACTGAGAGCATACAAGTCTTTATTTTTCTATTGATACATTGCTATCACATGAAAGGCGAACATGGGAGTAAAATCTTACTCTCCCCTTTGGGCAGAAACTCGATCATCTTCATGAAGAGAGTTTATCGTTGCAGCCTTCCGATAGCACAAGTTGCTGCAGCTCATACCATTGAGGGTAGTCTCATAATGTTCTGTCCCTCCATTACACTGTCAAAGCCATTTTCTTGTTAGATTTCGCATTTTTTACCAAAGAAAGGGAAAGCAGATGAGGAAAGGGGGGGGGGGGGGGACATATTTGCATATAGCTAGGAAAGTATGTCTCAAGTAGTTTACACAGTTAAAAGAGGATTTTTCATAGATTTAGTACAGTATATAGAAAGATCAGCTTTTCGCTATAATTAGTATGATTTTAACTACTAAATAGATAAATTGTATACAGTTGGATATACTGTTATTTTGGTAACAAGGGACAAATATGAACTTTCAAAAATTGATGTACCTCTTGATGTAGTAATAACAGAAATCTGCCAAGATGAAAGTTTGAACAATTTCAGCAAGAAGAGCTACTAGTAAATACAAATGTCCTCGCCCGATTTGCATCAGTATTGCTCCTCTGCTGTCAAAAAGCTGTATGTAGTAGAAAAGGTGGGTGGTTATTCGAGAGATCTTAGACAAGGTTTAACATGTAATTGTAAATTTTTTATGAGAGAATGGCACTTGATTAAGAGTTTAAGACAGTGTAATGTTTGCTATATCCTCACCATGATCAACCAATTTGCACATGTAAAGAATCTTGCAACACCTAGGGCAAAGACATAGTGGGCAGTGAATGGTTCAACCATCTGCAACACAAAGATGAAAAGTTAATAATGCATTAGTGGAATCAATACATAAATTAGCAAGTGCAAGTAGATAAATTATATGGCAAAGACAACATTAGACAGAGTAAAGATAGGTTCTATCTTTTGATAGAATTTGAACAAGGATGCATGAAGTTTGGAGGGGTATCACTGGTTTACTGAAATTGAGCTCTGAAGGTTATGCGATGTACCAGGTACGTGTGGCAGTGTGGGGCAGTGGGAGAGTGTGCTCTGTGGTGATGTGGAGATTGTTCAAAGATAGACATAAATAGGTTGACCACTCTTCTAGCTAATAATGTTACCACATCGGAGCATGTGCACCTAGGTGTGATGAGTGCAACCAGTTTGCAAGCAAAACCAGAAATAGACTAGACTAGACTAGCCTAAATCCTATACGAGACATGAGACGACTCAACTAAACAACCTGGCTCACTCTCACCAAATATCAAGGAAGTTCCAAATTTTTATAGTTTTACAATCTGACATGATCTTAATGTAATAAAGATGACACATTTTGTAATGTATCGAAGTTAATCTAACAGTACCTTAGCATTTTGTATTAAGCGCAACTGAGGGAGCACTGAAACGGCTTCAATTGTCTTGGAATACATATAGAAGAATCTGAAGCTAAAGTTCACTCCAAATCCAGGATGGCCTATCAATGCAACGACAGCAGAAGGCACCAGCTGTATATAACATAAATAGTTTTGAATCAACGAAAATATGATAAGCTGTTACATAATGAGTAGTTATGGTTCAAGTATTATAATACTAATGAATATTTTTGTTGAAGTATTGCATAAGTTGCCTTTGAATGATGCTCACTTATTTACACATTCTTATTGAGATTATGAAATCTGCATCAATTTTCATCAGTTTTTAATAACATTGTAACTCAGAGTACTTAAAAGTATAGTGGTAATGTATAGTACATGTTGAATTGTTGATGATGATTAGATAGAGAAAGAATTGAGAAAAGTGAAACAAGTAACAAAATCACATACCACGTAATACAAAGGCATATTGTCAAGCTCTTCCAAGTAGGTTTGCTTCAACTTATATCGTATCATATAGATCACCCAGAGAGTAGATACAAGTGTTAGACAATCAAGTACAACATAAATATCACGTACGAGCATAAAATGGCACGCGATTCTCATGGTTAAGAATACTGCCGTTAGCTCCTGAGTCTTCAATGACAAACCTGTACAGACCATCAAGAATATACACACACACACATATTACTAGGAGAAAGCATATATAATTGTATGATTAGTAGACTAAACCAATGGAACACCTTTTGTCACAAAATCATTAGATTAAATAAACATAGAACATCATATGTCAATGCTTCCTAGTAGAAATAGGAATAACCACTAAACCTTTATAGAATGTGTAGATATTTCCTCCACATAGTTCATGTCAATTTTCATGATTGAAAAAAATAGTCATCGAAATTATACTCTGTATCTTTAAACACCAAATCGCCTAGGCTATTCCTCTTAATCGTTCCAAATTCGAGCATAATCATGGTTAGACTAAGGTGCATTCTATCAAACTAATTATAACATCAAATAAGTTCGAGTAAGTTCAATTCATTCTAATAAAATTGTCGCCTAATGCCCAGTACACCTTACGGTTGTAAAATAATACTCCGTACTTGTATAACAGCGAAATTCATACTCATATTACTTAAAAAAACAAGGTGTTTCACGAGGTACTCGTTGACACTAGCGCATCAATCTTGGCCACCAATTGTTGATTTTTTATGTTACAACTTACAAGTGTTACAACTTATAGTATGATATTGACATGTGAACCATAATTTCACTCTGAGGACATTGTCGCATTATGACATATCTTATCCCAATTAGTCAATTACCAATATTTAGTAGAATAATAATTTATACAAACTCTTATAGTCTTATTAAAATTTAATCACCGTCTAACCAGGAAGAGTATAATAAAAATAATTAACTTTTTTTTTATTTTTTTTATTTTTATGAAAGAAGATTTAGTAACATTTTTAGTTGTTGAGGAAAATCCAGATATTTCAAGTAAATCTCTTGGTAACCATAGAAAGGTTTATCAGGTAATAATTTCATACAAGTATACAATTATCAAGTAGCAATTTCGTATTTAAATTGAAAATAACAATACACAATCGAAATGAATGAATAAATTTTCGAAGATATATAATCAGCTAATCACAAATTCATGATTGATATGTTTCAAAAACAAGGAGATTACCTCGAAACCCTCAAATAATTGTAGCTAAAAATCAGTTAATAGCAACGATGAAAGGAAAAGAGGAAATTACCAGAACAAGTTTTGGTGATGGTGAGTTTGTAAATTAAGACCAAAATACCAATAGAGTGAGCAAGTTGAGCAGCAACATAGAAATAAGTATAATTTTTGACGAAAACTTTGAGTAAAACAAGGAATATGAATGCTGCAATTGACGCCATTGTTACTAGCTGTCTCACTGATCGGCTTCGAATCCATCGCGATAGCTGCTTCACTGCCGTCGGAGTCGCTCTTTTGTCCCCCATTTTTTCAATACTCTTGAAATGGAACTTTGAGGAGAAAGAAAGAGAGGAGATGAAAATTTGTAGTAATGAAATGGTCTAAATGAAGCTTGACTTTTAACTACATAATTAGTAAGGACGCTGAGTTGGCGAACCTTTCCATTCAATATTTTACGTCGTGCTTTGTTTCTCTCTTTTTGTACCAAATTATTTTATCTAAATTTAGGGTCCGTTCTCTTACGTTGAAATTCAGTTTAGTTCTGTTCAGTTCAGCTCATCTCAGTTCAGCTTCTAATTTTCTTTTCTTATAAAATATTCATTTCACTTCAGTTCATCTCAGTTTAGTTCAATTCAGTTCAACTGAGTTCAGTCAATGAGAACAAGCCCTTAGAGGTCTATTTTGATTGACTAAGCTGAGCTAAACTGAACTTATTAGAGTTAAAGCGAACTGAATATTTTATGAGAGAAAGAAAATTAAGAACTGAACTAAAAATAATAGGAAGAGAACAAATCCTTAATTTAATTACTCCATAATTAATGGATTTTTTCTAGGGATTACTTGACCAGTATTATAGGGATCACCCAATTAGTGTTATGGGAGTTACTTTGTTGATTATAATATTGGCTCACTCTCTCCCAAACCCTACCGCTTTCCCAAAAACTGCTCCGGCCATGAGGCTCGCCGACGGGCGTGCGGCTCACCGCCCATGCCACGGCGTCGGCGAGCCTCCGATATACTCCCTTAGGTTGTTTTTTTCCTTTCTCGTTTTTGTTTTCGTTTTTGTTTTTTGTATTTTCGGCCTTGCAACGTGCACCGCCTCCCCTCTTCGGCCGCGTCAGTTCCTCACCGGCCTTGCTGCCGGCTTGCCGCCGGTTTTCGTCTCCGCTTCCCCGCCGTGTCTAGGCCCCTCCGTTTTGTTCGTCGTCGCGACGTTGTGTTCGAGAACAGGGAGGATGAGTTATCTCCCTCTGAGTCCCTCGCGTAGGGTCGTTCTTAGTCTGGTGTCTCCAGCAGTCGTTGTTGCGGTTCAGGGGTGTGTGGGGTTTGGGTTTCTCGGGCGGGTATTGGCGGTCCGGGTTTTACTGTTAGGCGGCATGTGGGTTGGGTTGGTGAACCTCGGAGCTTTGGTGGTTGTGCTCGGAGTGGCGGCAGGGTGGGTTGTTAGGGTTCCGTTCGTAGTTCTTGTTTTTAAGTTTCTTCCTGTTTTTTCTATTAGTGGTGTGTGTAGTGTTTGGGTTTTCTGTTTCCGTCTTTGTGTGTTATTTGGGTTTGTTATTTTTTTCTTTTTGTGTGGTGTGTTGGTGTGCTATGGGGTGTGCAGATCGGTGTACCGATCTTCTGGTGCAGGATTTGAGCCGGGGTTTGTTGGCTATGGGGCTTTGATTTGATCTTCTGTTGGTTTGGGCTAAAGGGTTATGCTTCCATGCCGATATCCGTGTTTAAATCGGAGATTGTCTTGTCAATGGTGAAGTGTACGACACCAATTTTGATTTCAGGTCGAGGAGTACAGGATTCTGAGCCAATGAAGGTTCTCGTCAGAAAGTACAACATATTGCCAGACCCCCTTGCAAGAGGGTGCATAGGACAACGTTATATGAGCCAAGGGTATTTCAGAAAGTCATTTTGCGCGTACAATTGTAGTTTCCTTTATTTCGAACTTGTAATTGGTTCTTTTGTCTTTGTATTGTTCGATTACGATTTCTTATGTAAGTGCCGTATGGCTTATTATTAATGAACTTTAATCGCCCCCCTTCAAAAAAAAAAAAAAGTTACTTTGTTGATTTTATTTTATAATAGGGACTTACTATAATAATATTATTGCAAGTATTTATGGTTAAATTTTAAACATTGATATGTATTATTGCAAGTATTTAATTATTTATAAGCAAATGGAGTAAATTTTTTTACTCACAAAAATCAAATTAATGTCAGGAGTATTATTTTGTATTGTATGAGACGTTAACGAGGGGGATAGTTTAATACTCGTAGGGTGATGCAATTATGGTATGGTTGATAGACTAATGGAACTTGAACCACTTCTACCTGCAAATAATGTTATGAAGCTGCTACACCGCCAACTTATCCATTTCCAGTTTATGAATGCTAGGTACATTTTGTTAATCAACTATTTATGAATTTTAGGTACTAGCTATTTTGGGGTCAATAGCTTGGATTTTACTTATAAGTCATGCTAAAAAGAACTCACATAGCAAACACATATTACGTGTGTTCGGCACTATGTCAAATATGGGTATAACAGACACGAGTAGGGGTGTCAAAAACTTATCCGATCTTACCAAATTCACACCAAAATCAAAGTAACCCGAGAAAATGTTATGAGCTTGGAGGATCAAGGTCTAAGCTATTTGGGTTCTCTAAGGTAGTAATCAAACTACATCAGTGTATCCTATACACAGAAGAACCAGAATTAAGGGGCTGAACGCTGCAGACTTGTTACTCGTTAGTCTAGTAACACACAAAACACAATCATACTTGAGTCCTGTTTAAATCAAGATTACTGCAAGGATAAATGCATCTGATAGACTTAATTCTTATAGAGAGCAAGGAGGAGTAATCAGAGTAGACTATATACCAAACGATAAATCAGAAGTGCACTTTTATTTCTAATATGCAGGGCTGCTTCCAGCCGATAATGAACCTCAATTACCCTAATTCTTCACATGTACTACTCATGTAGAGTACTTTACACAAATTGGATGCTCATTCTTCCTAAAATACAAGGGTCCATTTGTCGATATGTAAAGATGGGCAGAAGGCAAGCATTTCACTAACTTAACCATCTTCATGAGTAAATTATGGCTGCAGCTCCCAAACACTTATCCCGGGCTCAGACCATTGAAGGCAGACGCATCATGCTTTGTCCCTCCATTACACTGCAAAACGTTTTCCATATTAGAATCTGTATTTTGTAGCTAATGCAAAGTATGGATAACCAAAATTGCTAGAAATTTTAATAAACCTCATCCTGTAGTAGCTAGGAAAGTATGTCTAAATGAGTAAAAAGACAATGTGGTTAATTTGTAGTGTTTTCTGCAACATACTATAGATTAATTTCTAAAAAAAAAGCACTATGCTGGAGTTTAGTGTAATTTGAACTACTAATGTCACAAATATATGCTGTTGGATGTAACATTACATTAGACCAGCTAAGCGACATAAGTGTGTTCAGAAATAGATGTACCTCTTAATGTAGTAATAGCAGAAATCTGTCAAGATGAAAGTTTGAACCACCTCAGCAAGAAGAATTACAATCAGATAAAGTTGTCCTCTCCCTATTCCAGTCAATATTGCTCCTTTGGTGTCAATAATCTGTATGTAGTTGCAAATTTAGCAGTAAGTCAAGCTATCTCAGGCAAATCTGTAACATGGATTACAATACAAAAATACACAAATAAACAACTATCTTTTCATTCATTCTAAAACACTACATTTATCTTGATGATAGAACGCCATAGGTGGGACGTGGGAGGAAGAATAGTGACTGTTCTGCATCTAGATGTGCGTTTGTAACGCACACTAGTTTGCAACCTAACTCTATATTTTAGAAATTTGAATTATGTTCCTCTCAAAATCCAGAGGTGAGGATTCATCCTGATTGGATCAAAGATAATAGAAAGTGAGAGTAGGAAGAATTAGCATACTAGCATACATGCCATCTGCCAAGGGAGCATCATGTATGGTAAAATTGGCACTATCACAAGATTCAAAGTCATTTGTGTATTCAATCAATCCTTCATCTATGCTTCCACTCTTTGTTAAGAAACTCCGACTCAGCTAATTAAACTTTCATACAAATTTAAAGTCATGATGTAGATGCACATAAACAATCTTGTGAAAACAAATGAAAGATTACAACACTTGAGAGTTGAGACAGTACGTATGTTGTATACTAACCATGTATATCCAGTTTGCACATGAGAAGAATCTTGCAACACCTAGGGCAAAGACGTAATGCGCAGTAAAGGGTTCAACCACCTGCATCACAAAGGGAAAAGACTTTAGAAATCCAGCTCGACCAAGATTAGTGATTACATAATTCTTCCAAAGAAGATAGAGGAAAAATCATCTGGGAAGAATCAAATGGAAGTTATCAACAAGTATGAAGTAGCTCCTGATACAAGTTTAAGCATGTGTATCAGTGTATGTGTCATTGTGAAAGTAAGTTACTACACTTTGTTTAATATGGACTATGGAATATCGTTTTACTTGAATCCAACCAGTTTATCAGCTCCCAAGCCAAACATCAGCTTTACCAGACTGACTTCAATAGATGGCCCCTAAATCGAGCTAAGACTGTATGAGCCTATTCCGAATGAAGCATGAAATGACTTAACCAAAGAACCAAACTACCCAAGAATGAAATGAGCATATTCATGAAAAAGAGATAGTAACACTTTTGCTAAGTATCAAATTAAAGCTAGTGTTACAGCACCTTAGCATTTTGTATTAAGCGCAGCTGAGGAAGCACTGAAATGGCTTCAATCGTCTTACTAAACATATATAACACCCCGATGATTCCAGATCCAGGATTGCCTATAACAGCAATAATAAAACAAGGCACCAGCTGCAAAACAGCAAAAGCAACGCGTCACTATTCTTTGCATACTCCATAAAATATAGCAATCCAATCCAAAATAATAGATGCCTCAATCTACACCAATTTTCATAGACTTAAACATATCGTGGACATGTGTTACTTATGATCTAAATTTGAATAGGAAATAAAATTGGGTGCTTACCACATAATATAAAGGCATGTTGTCAAGCTCTTTCAAGTAGGTGTTCTTCAACTTAAATCGTATCATATATATAACCCAGAGAGTAGATACCAGGGTTATACAATCAAGTGCAATGTAAATATCGCGTGTGAACGTAAAATGACTCACGAGCCTTATGGTTAAGAATATCGCAGTAAGCTCCTGAGTCTTTACTGATAAGCCTGTGAAGATCAACAACGATATACTAATTACTAAAATTCATAATTACTAGCATATTGTATGATTAATAGACTAAAAACGAACCAGGGATCGTTTATTTTTTTACAGTAGCACAATAGATGAACAAAAATCATGTAATCTGCTGGTTGATTGTTAGGTAGATAGAATATCATATCATATTAGCATCAATTATGCTATTCTCCATGATTTATGTAGATAGTTTTCTCAATCAAATCTTTTGCATTGTCAATGGACCATTGTCATGAATCTGTTCTTATAATCCTGTTTTACTTTTTACAGGATTTTCAATAAACACATAAGCATAAATATTGTGAATTTATACGAATCAAACAAGATCCCACATGAGACCACGGCTAGAAACATGGAGAGCATTAAGAACACCCTATTTTCTTCCATTTTCAACAAACTTAAAACCCAAAAATAATAATTCAGCAGATATAGGTTCTATTTTGTCACACATGTACTTTATAATTCAAGCAAAAAGCCATAAAAGTACAAAATTTAGATAAAAGTTAGTGTTAATATTCAATTTAATATACTCCTAAAGAATATTCAATCTTTCTATCAATTAAAAAAAAGTAGACTTTATTTATTAATTTTTTCATATAAAATTTCTCATATGAACACGCTGACACACACGTGAGTCGTGAGGAGGGTTCTGTTCCAGACAATTATGAAGATGAAACTAAATAAAAACTCTTTTTTTTTTTTTAAGGAAACTAAATAAAACTCTATAGTTTCATTGTTTCAATACAAGTTTAATCTATTTTTATGAATTCTTTTAATAAGATTCAAAACTATTAATTCAAAGGCGTACATTGCCAAGCGAGAAAATCAAAACGATTAAAAGTGGATTTTTTTAATTTTTTTTTTAAAGAAAGGGAAAAAATAAAATTAAATAAAAGAACAATCATTGTTCAAACAACAAAATTACAATCGAATAGGGGAAAATAAATTAAATTGAATAAAAGGGGTATGCAAATTACATGAAAACATTAATAAAACAAAGTCAAAATTCAAAAACAATCCAATCAAATTAAAAAAAAAAAAAACAAGAAGAATATGAAATAATATAACAAAAATTGAATAAATTGGGATAAAATAAAAAGGGGAAATCACCAGAACAAGTTTTGGTGATGGTGAGTTTGTAAATCAAGACTAAAATCCCAATAGAATGAGCAAGTTGAGCAGCAATATAAAAATAAGTATAATTTCTGACGAAAAGTTTGAGTAAAATCAAGAATATGAATGCTGCAATTGACGCCATTGTTACAAGTTGTCTCACAGATCGGCTTCGAATCCATCGCGACAGTTGTTTCACTGCCGTCGGAGTTGCTCTTTTGTCACCCATCACTCCCAAGACTTGTTTAGACTCTCTAAAAGAGAGGTATTGAGATTTAGAGATATTGGTTTGACTCTAATGAAAAGGAGACAAGAGTTATGATTTATTTATTCAACTATATTTGCCCCTTTCTCCTTTTTCTGTAACGATTGTAACATTAGGATATGCACAAAGTTTTTGGAAAATTATTGGGTGGGGATCAAAAGATAATTTTTTTTTTTATTTATAAAAAAATAAAAATTTATAAGAAAGAGAAATATTTATAAAGTGGCGTTAGTATTTTGGTAAGAGATAGAAATAGAATATTAACTTGTTTCATATTTTTTTGCAGAATATTTTATACTAGAATATTAACTTGTTTCATATTTTTTTGCAGAATATTTTATACTTCATAAATAATACACCAGATGCAAGAAAAATGAAACGGAAGGTAGTAAAAGTGGATTCTTTTTAGCGACAAAAAAAAAGTGAATTCTTTTTAAATAGGGAGATGTTGCAATTATTATAAAACATATATAAAAGGAAAGTGTTGAAATTATTACGAAACGGGTAGAGTATTCCATATAAGGTTAGGTTTTTTTTTTCCTTTATTTGGTAAATTCATGCCTAGAAAATTAGTTAAGTTTGAATAATTTCATATAAGTTCAGTTCAAAAAAATAAGTTTGATAGAGGTTGCAAGTACAAATTACAACTAAATTAAGATTTAATAAGGTTTAATAAATTCAAGTAACTTCAAATAAGTTTAGGTAACTTCAAATAAGTAAAAATCAAGTTAATAAAACACACCCTATATTTTTCGGGTTAGGTTTTAATTGGTGTTTCACCGAGTTCACCCTTTGGGCTAATCTGGATTCGGGGATCAGTTGTGGGTGGTTAGGTTTCAGTCTCCTCCCAATTGTTATTGCGAGGTATCGTACACGACCTACACGGGTCCTCCCTATTAAATATAGCCCCAATCACCAATACACCAACACCAATTGGTTAATATTTATTCATTAAATAATATTATGAAACATGTACGGAGTATGTAAATTAATACGATAGTTAATTTTTCTTACTCTGTAAATTTTTAATGTCTCACATCTCTTACAATTTCCTATACTTAAATTCTTACTAACCTCGTCTCCTTACAGTAAAAAACATGCATGATGAATGATTAATAATATGAAGTACTAAGGGTCCGTTCACATTTACTGAGCTGAACTGAACTGAATTGATTGGAGCTGAACTGAACTGAGTTGAAATGAATATTTTATGAGAAAGAGAAATTAGGAGTTGAACTGAACTAAACTAAACTAAAATTGAATAAATGTGAACATGCCCTAAATTTTGCAACATAATAAATTTGGAAACATAGAGATTAGATATTTAGAGGCTACAGAACTATAGAAGTAGTAATGGAAAAAAAATGGCAAGTATAGCATGGCATTGTCTTATTGGCTGGAACATGTAATATGGCCTACGTGGTATGTTTTAATTGGTTGTGACCTTGATAGACTATGTGTCATGTGTTACATTAGCATTTTGGATAGCATTTTTATTTATATTTATTAATAAATTTTTATTTTATGGGTGATAGATAGTTGAGGCAATTTTATAACGGAGTAGTAGGGAAGGGAAGTCCCCTCACGTCAAGCTCGGGCCTACAACGGAAATATATGGCATAATATGTTGGATGAGGAATTGAGGACCCCTAAATTATTGGTGTATAAACAACATTAAAGATGTCTAAGACGTGAATCACGTGACAATGAGTCATTGTCCTTATCATTCTCATTCATTAGGTGTTTTTAAAATTTTAAGATGATCCACTCCCTTGAAAATCAATGGGAAAAACTTATGTGGATGGTCTCATAACTTCATTTTTATCCAAATTATAACAAGGAAAGACAAGAAGGTAATCATATAGAGTACAAATGTACAATTGTTTAATACTCTGTACAAAGTTTGACTTCAATTAGGCATTCTTATGAGCTTGATAATTTAAATTATTTTCCTTTTTTTTTAATACAAACATACTTCGAGCTATCAACTGTAACTTACATCGCCGCCAAGTAATTAATTAAACTCTATCAGATTTGTTCGGGAGGCTTAGTGTTCAATAGCTTAAGAGCAACGAGAATTATCATCAGAGATAATAGTTGACAAATTTTGAAGCTCGCACTTTCAATATGGCATACCAAGCTTTACATAACAAAAGTTACAACTCTTTTTGTGAAAATAAAATTTTGAGGTTTTAAAGAAGGAATTATAAACATACAATATTAAAGGTAATCGTCTATTAATTATAAACTCAATTAGAGGAATTTGGTCAAATCAAGCTACAAACATGATTGCTAATGTTAGCAATTAAGAATATCAAAGTTCATAGCAAACATTTAATTAAGTTGGATGATTGTAGTATCAAGATATTTATTGAGATTTTGAGAGACAAATCAAGCTACAAACATGATTGCTAATGTTGGTAATTTATCAAGTGATAAAATTAACATTTGTCCTTGTATTAAACATTTTTTTAATTGCTACTATTATTTTTTATATATACTTTAGAAATTGCTTTTATAAGGAGGGTTTCCTAAGAGCATGACTCTCCGTCCTTTAATAGCCAAATAAGACCAAAACTCAATGGGCTTTCAATCAAAAGCTGCATTCTGTCACGGTCTTTACTGATTCCTTTAATCTGGTTACTCTTCTACGGGGGGATGGGCGAGGTGATGTGGCTTACCTTTGGCTCATTTGCAAGATTCAACAACTAGGCTTAAAATTTCAGTATTGTTGTGTACATAAAGCGGAGCGTCAGCGTGTTCATCGTGCTCATCAAATTGCGGGGGAAGCGGTGGTTAACTTTATTTGTTTTAGTATTAGTAAGTAATCTGTTTGTATCCTTTGTCAAAAAAAAAAAAGACCGAAACCAAGTTTAGTCCATAAATTTCAAATAGTTGAATAGCCCTTTATTCCAATGCATATTGCGTATATCATAATCCCTTAGAGTTGCTAAAACAATTCAGTCAATCTATTAATATTGACTTAAATTAAACATATTTGCACTATATGAGTTACTCGTTCATCTAAAAAACTACAAATGAAAGCGTGAGGGATATATCAAGTGGTTAGAACTCTCCTCACGATTCCAAGTAATTTTTATGATCGATTCTCATCATCAATTGTCTTCGTGGCTCTCAACATGCAGACACACTTTTTGGTGCGAGGCCCATTGGGTTTGGATGTAGATATATAATATTGCAGAACCCAAAAAAAGTTCTTCGGACCTCTCGTTACCGGAATTCTCTCTCTTTGTTTTCTGAGACTCGTACAAAATGATTCAATAAACACCTTCAATTAATTAACGAAATTCTAAAAATGGAAATTCCAATTGTTTGGGTTTCACTCTGTTTTTCTCCCTCATTATGTCCAGAAAATCAAGTTTTTTTTTTATAAAAAAAATAGAAATTCGAAATGGGTAAATTCAAATACGAAACACCAGCATTTGTGCAGCAAATTGGTAGATGGGTTCGAAATCGTACTCTGAAAGAGAAGCTATGTATGGGCGCCATTGCTGCGGTTGTATTGCTTGTTTTGTTAAAAATATTTGTTAAAGAACATGCCCATTTCTTTGTTGCTGCTCAAACTTCTCAGGCTGTTGGTATCTTACTCTTGATTTACAAGCTCACCATCTCCAAAACTTGTTCTGGTACGTCAATGTTTTTATTTTTATAGGTTAGTCCAATGTATATCGATAATGTTGCAATTAATAGAGAATAGAGGAAGTATATCGACAGTGTGTTTTAATACCCATTTAGTACCCTCTATTAGCTTATTATTTGATCATATATTGATTTGCTGTAAGTTTTTATTTTCAATTTCCAATCAATTTGGGTTGAAGTTACAAGGACGGGCGGTGAGAATCGATCTTAAAGCTCTCTTGGAATTGGGAGGGATGGAGTTCTTACCACTTGAAATATCCCTCACTCATTCTCTTTTTATTGATTGATATTTAGTAGTATATGTTTGGTATGAATATAAGAAAAGAAATGGAATAGAAACAAATAACTTGGAAATGGAAGTGGTTAGAGCTTCCCTCTCGGTTAAACACCAAAGAAAACATTATGGGTTTAGGTGGGAAAACATAACTGGATTATTACTGGGTTAGAACAATGGATCATTAGTTTTCAGAACAATGGATCATTAGTTTTCAAAACAAACATATTATAACTTGGAACACATGTTCTGAATTGTACTTCGTATCAATTAAACATTTCTGATTGATCTTCGGTTTGCTTATACCCTGGACTTACGCTTTCTTGATTAATGGATTATGACCTTGTTTGGCAAATGACTGTTGGCGGTTGGCTGGTTCACTTGGCTTGTTTGACCAGCTGGAATGTTTGGCTGTTTATAATGATTTTTGAAATTGGTTGTTTAAGCTAGCTGTTTATAAAAGTGTTTGGTAAATTAATTGTTGGTTGTTGGCTGTTTATTAGATAATTTGTAGGCCAACAAGCCAAAAGACAAAAAAGCTACCCAAAGCAGCTTTTTCATTTTGGCTTAAAAACCAGCTTTTTCGCTAACTAAAAAGCCAATAACCAAACACATTTTTTGGCTGTTTGACCACCTAAAAAAGCCAAAAGCTAAAAGCTAACCAAAAAGCCATTAAAAAGCCAATTACCAAACATGGCCTATGTGAAATTGCTTTTGTATCACCAAAAATACTAGTTTTCTAGTTTTACAAGTGAATAGTATTAGTACTCAAATCTAAATAGTTTTCTAGTTTAACAAGTGAATTGTTTTTTTTGGTGAAGAACATTTGTGAATTGTGACTATAATGTTTGGATAACAAATTAGAAGGGAAATGGAAGGGAGGGAAATATGAGGAAGGGAAAGTGAAGGAAATGATGAGCTTCATTTTCCCTCCAAATCTCTCCAATTTTGAAGGGATGGTCTTTATTAAAGGAGGAGGGAAAATGGATCCCTCCCTCCCTCCCCCTCCCCTTCCCTCCCCCAACATATTATCCAAACAAGGAACTTTAATTTGTCTCCCTCCCTTTCCCTTCCCTTCCTTTCCTTCCATTTTTTGTTATCCAAACATAGCCTTAGTTCCGGTTTTCTGGATGGAGTAGCTATTTTTGGAGCATAAATACATAGTACAAATTCTTAAATGGACTTGGTTCACACTAATTTATTGTGAACCATCAATATTAGAGACAATATGATTGTTTTATTAATAAAAAAAAAAAAAAAGAATGGTCATTATATTAATATAAAGGTTATTATGTTGAAATAAAGGTAATCATGTTGAAATAAAAGTTCGTGTGACATTATTAAAATTATAAGAAGTTAATTTTTTTAATAAAATTTTTATACAATGGTCAATATGAATAATAATGATCACTATGTTAAAATTAGGTCACTATTCAATATAATGTCGTACCTTAAGTTCATTATAGTATTAAAGGTCACACAAGTTTTAAAAAAGGTTACTATGTTGAAAATAAGGTTACTATATTAAAATTAGGGGTCACTATGTTGAATATAATATCAGTTATGTGTGTATAAACCTTGGGTCCACAATTATATTATTGTGGACCAGGTCCACGCAAGATTTTCTGTTTGCTCCATTTCTCCATGCGCTGAGTTTTAGGAGAAATTGGAGAAAATAATAAGGATCTTTTACCAATATGGCTATTTTGACAAAAGTATTTACCAAAACGGCTAATTATAAAATTTAATTCCCAAACTAGCTAAAGTTATTGAATTGAAAGGATATTATTTTTTTTTATATTCCTTTGACCACGTTCGGTTCACTTTATTTTTTTTTATTTGGTTTTATTTAAAAAGAATTAGATTTTTTTTAATGTTGGTTTTATTAAAATTCTAATGCCATAGTTTAAAATGTCCCATTAATTTGAACAATAACAATCAACATAATATATATGCAGCAATTCTCAATTTTAAAAAAAGTTACACAACATAAAAAACCACTCAAAAAAAAAAAGATCCAAACTTCCAATCAACAAAAGAAAAAAATATACAACTATTTTTTTTTAACACATAAAGATAGAAATAAATATATGTAAGTTTGATTTATCATACACATTAAACAAAACAAAAAAAAATATTCATAGTAGCCGACATAAACAAAGAGTATAATACAATTAATTTAATAGACATGAAAAAGATGAACAATACCTTAAAATCCCTTATCGTCGTATAAATTTGGGGTAATCTTGATAGAACAATAATACTTGAAATTCCAAATTTTTGTGATTGATATGATCAAGATGAAAAATTAGGGTTTTTAATTTAATTTTTTTTAATTAAAATTAGGGATCTGCGAGTCTGCGACTGTTTACGTTCTTCGTAGTTTTGTATACTACTTAAATTTTTCAACTTAAAAAAATCTTTAAGGAAATAAAAATAAACCAAAAAAACAAAATTAAAAAAAAATGAATCAAACTGATTCAAAGAAAAAAAGAAACAGACAAATTCCTTCCAAGTTAATAAATTAGCTAGTTTGGGAATTAAATTTTATAATTAGCCGTTTTGGTAAATACTTTTGTCAAACTAGCCGTTTTCGTAAAAGATCCAAATAATAATATATGGAAGTAGTGGGGTAAGTGGAAGAATAAAAAATTATAAAAATTCAAAAGTAGTGGAGAGAATTGAAGGAGAGAAAATATGTGGTGGGTCCAATAGGTGAGAGAAATTAGTTAAATATTGTAAAAACTTTCCAAATAAGGAAGTGGAGCAAGTATATAAAAACGGCCGAAAAAGAAAAGTGGAGCAAATATTTTAAAACGGAGGGAGTAATAATCTTTTTATGCTTGTTTTTTTTTATAGGTCTGTCATTAAGGACTCAAGAGCTTACAGCTATAAATCTATTTGTGAGACTCCTATCCAGCCTTACAATCCGAGGGCAAGTGCATGTTGTACTCGATTTTCTGAACCTTGTAGCTACTTTGTGGGTGATGTATATGATGCGGTTCAAGTTGAAATCAACTTACCTGCAAGAACTAGACAATATGCCCCTGCTCTATGTGGTAATCTTTAGTCTCTTCATCTTGGTTGTGCCATAATGCCTTGTTTTTTCCCTTTCCTTTCTCCAGTTTGTATTTCTCAGTACTCATAAACTTGTGACAACTAGTACTACTTCCTTATCATCTATCATATTTCAACGATTCATTCACTATTTTACTCAAGAACTTATAATCATATACTTCATATTTTAATGGGACCCCATAAGAGACGAGCATCAAACATTTGTGTTTATTCAGAAAGTACATAAAACTAATCATGGAATGAACAAAGATTATACTATGCAGTATGTTCTGCACATAAGTAATAAATAATATCTATGTTTACGGTTTTATTTTGTACAGTTAGTTCCTTGTGGTGTTGCTGCGTTATTAGCACATCCTATAGGACCTTTTCCATTGTTGATTCGGTGGATGTGGTCATTCTGCATTTCGGTTGAAGCTGTTGCTGTTCTTCCCCAGCTTCGTTTGATGCAGAACTCAAAGGTAATTCTTAGTGAAATTGTTAGGTAGAGAGCTTCATAGTATGATCATAAGTTAGCAGTAAAAAGAGCTGCAGATTTCTCTTTGATAAGAAATCACCTTACACTTGAGCACTACATTGGCAATTTACCTTACTACACAGTTGTGTATCAGGGGCAGACTGGCTGTGTATTCGTGTAATGCAGCAAGTAGCAATAGTTTATTAATTTAATAAAAAAAAAGTATGTACTCTTGTACATATAAATTACATGGCATTTGATGTAATAACGTTAACATACAGATTAGTCTTAGTTTGATTTCAAAGATAAAAGAATTTGGTTATAGCAAGATATGATTGGGAATGTACTCAATGGAGAATTGTTGTTGTTATATTAGATGAACTTCTACAAGAGAGGGGGTGAATGGTAGTAGGTTCCAATCGCGGAACTTATGCGGAAATTAAAAACAAAACGTAAAGGAACTTAAAGCACAAAGCAAGTTTTACGAGGAAACCATCCAGTGCCTAACTGGAAGTAAAACCTCGGCCCTATTGGGACTTATAAACAAATTCCACTATAATAGGCAACTCTCCTAGTACAACCTATTACACAGACCTTTGCTTTGCAAGTTCCACCACGGACACATGACTATATGATAGGACACCTCCTACCAGACCTAAGACACCTCTCAGGACCCTTTTTCTCCCTTAACCCAGTTAACTTCCTAGGTGACCCAAGACACCTCTCAGGTGCAACCCAAGACACACTCGGGGTGACTAACTACCACTCGAATTTTACGAGATTTCAAACTCATCACAAACGTGAATTTAAGAGAATTCACAATCTCACCCCAAAATACAAAACACTCAAAACCATTTTTCCCATTACAAGATCTCATTGAATATCTCTAAATACATATCTATGAATAAAGAGATAAAACTAATATGTTGGACACTCGAGACCTGTTTGGAACTCACTGGACGTACTGTAACCAAAACCTGATAGGAACTTTGACCAGGAGAACTGACTTAGCTTCGTGGTGAAGGATAAAACCATTAAGCACGACCACTACACTTCGTCAGCCTCAACTTTGAATGAATACATATGAGCATATTTATAGTACACTCGAATTATTCATTTCATCTTGAAAAAGATAGATTTTCTGAAAAGATAAGTTTAAAAGATATTTTCTAAAAACAAGTTTTCCGAAAATATATCTTTTTGTTAAGAATATAATCTGTCAATAATAATAAGATAAATTTAACATAAAATCAGATTTTATTCCAACCTTATCTTTTAGTTTAAAAATACTTTTTAAACAAAATTTATCTTTTTCCAAAAGGGATTTATTAGAAGATAAATATCTTTATTCAGTAAAACCAAATCCCTAAAAGATATGCACGTATTAGAAAAATATATATATCATTAAAACCGAATTTTAACGACGTGCATACTTAAGTTCCTATTAGGTTCCTGAACTCTGACAGTCTCTGAGTTCCTTGACAAGTCAGTTACTCTAATTTCATTGACTGTTTGGAGTTCACCTTGGTTCTATATAGACTTGTTCCAGACCGACTTTTATGTCCAACATACTTACATGAATCCTAGAGCAATATACTTCTATTTCTCTGTCTTCATGTTGCTTCTCTAAAACTCTTGTTCTGGAATCCTGTAGTCTTGATATATTCTGGATCTGAGGGTTTGCCCCAGCATTACACCACTGGAACCAGGTCGTTACAACCCGTTTCGAAGTTCTTGTTAAGAAACTTCTGGAAGTTCCATTTTTGGAACTCTTCTTCTAACTTTACTTGTATCCTCATGGATCTTCCAAAGTTCCTCTGTTTCAGTTCCTACTTCAGCGCTAAACGCTTACTGAATCTGCAAATATCACAACACTAGAAAATCCTTATTAAATGGAAGTTTGCTCAATTCTTAACATCATCATCAAAACCTCATAAGGGTCAATAAGTTGCCCCTTTTTAATGATGACAAACTGAGCAAACTTCTGAGGATAACAAAGTAACTCAGAAGGTTAGTTTTTTCATTTATAAAAACAGTAAAGAAAACTAAACTAAATTAAAAGACTCCTACACATACATGACCTATATATGTATAGGATACTTACCTTATGAAGCTAACATATGCAAACACATGTTTACATAGTTACCTTCATGGTTCCTTAGCCATCATCATGCTTATCAACCATAACACTTATCGTTGTTCTTGTTCCTCTATTGCTTATCTTATATTGCTCAAGTTCCTTACATATATACCTGTCATTACTCAGGTTCCTTGTATCCTGTTCCAAGCATAACTTGCTCTTTCTATGCACAACTTACCATACACGTTAGATAGATAATCATCATTAGTTTATAATCATCAAAACCTAATTGCTCAACAGTTGTATTGTGATTACTTCATAAGGATTAGAGTAACATCTGAAGCACTGTGCAATGCGACACGTGACACAACTTCTTCATTGGTATTTTGCAGATGGTTGAACCTTTCACATCCCATTATGTGTTTGCCTTGGGCGTTTCAAGGTTCATGGGATGTGCTAATTGGATAATTCAGGTTAGCTTCCTGACTCCTGAAAATTTTCTGATTACCTTTGGAAATTAATCTGAACAACACTTGCTGCTTATTCTTTGTATGGCATTCCTTCCAGTACCATGTACTTCTCTCAAAAAGATATTCAGGCTTTAAAATTGGAATCAGTTATGTTTCCATTAAACAAGTATTTATTTTTTGGATTTTGAAGAAGTCGTAGCAGACATTTCATCTTCACAAACTATTTTATCTGACAGTGTCCGCTTTGCTGCCCATCTAGTTAGCGTGACATGAATCTTAATACGTAACATGGTAAATGGTCTTCTTTTCTAACGAAATGCATTTTAAATGATAAAACAGCTTATTGAGACCAGAGGTGTTCACCTGATGCTAATAGGACAAGGACATATCTGGATACTGTTGGCTCTTGTAGCTGAATTGGTTCATACATTCATCTTGGCCGATTTCTGTTATTACTATGTTAAGAGGTAAGCATTGGGAACTTAAGTATCTTAATTTTTAGTTCTGTTATAAATTGATGAAAAGTGTTAATGTACTCCTCTACTCCTGAATGTGCTGATTACATAATCGATATGGCTAATGATGAGTCGTATTCTTGTGGTTTGACAGTGTCATGGAGGGGCAGACCATAATGAGCCTACGCTCATTAGTTTGAAGGTTTGGATCATACTTTGCTACAATAAAAGTCTGTTTGAAGCAGTAAGATTAAAATCCTGTTATTAGTCAGAAGGGAGGAAACGAAATAGGGGTATGACTTCTTCCCTGATATTGTTTTTTCAAAGGGGATTGTATATATGATCTGATCTACCACTGCATTTTCTTTTCTTCTTTAGAGGGTAATGATGGTATATACGTTTTTCGGACCCCTTTAAAGTATTGTTGCTTTGGCGGAATTTGATTTAACTAACCATACAACAAAGGTTTTCTTGTTGGGGGCTTCGCCCTTCTTGTTCACCAAAAAATAAAAAGCCTTGCTTCACTGTCATACAAAGTTTGGACAAGCAGATTCTTGAATGTATCTCAAAAAAGGGTTATTATTCATGTGTTTTCGGCGAAAATTTACCAGATATTATATAGCAACATTACTCTGTTAACTACAACAATAGAGAGAAAAGGTGTTGATCTCCCTTGAGTGTTTGCCTTTGTGTTAACCTTCTCAATCTTGACCACCAAAATCACTTTGTATGAGGTGATAAACTTTTAGACAGGTGATTGTAAGCTGATCATTATCTTCCTATTCACGACGCTGTAATATTAAACAGGAAATTGATAATTTAGCAAGCGGTCTTCTAACATAGTGAATCTAAAATGAAGAGCTCCTTTTGTTCGAAATTAATAGTCACATTGATAGTCTATGCTAACATAACTATTAAATCCCGACAAAAGTAATATATACGAGAAGTTGATTTCGTAATTTACCTCTTGATGTAATAATAACAAAAGTCTGCCAATATGAAAGTTTGAACAATCTCAGCAACTAATATTAGCAGTATATAAAGATGTCCTTTGCCTGCTAACACTAGATATTTTCCACCTGTTTCGTATATCTATATTCAACAAAGTTAATTAATCATTATCATTAATTGACTATTATACGTTAATAATGTATTAATTTCAAGCAATTCAATTCATAGTAGATTGAAAGGGCGAAAATTGTTAACCTTAAAGATCCAGTTAGCACATCCCACGAACCTTGAAATACCCAAGGCGAAAACATAATGAGCTGTAAATGATTCAACCATCTGAAGTATAGCATAAATTCTCTAAGTGTTAGTAGCATAATAAAAAAATAAAATAAAATAAAAGAAAAAAAAAGAGGTGAAAAAAAGTGGAGTAGTACTAAATAAGTAGTACTGTATTTTATATTTTCTAATTAAAGACAATGACAATAAATTCATAGATTTAAAAGTGAATAAAACCTTTGCGTTTTGCATAAACCGAAGTTGAGGTAACACTGAAATGGCTTCAACGCACAGACAAAACGACCAAAGAACACGAGCTAAAAGAGGCCAAAGTGATTGAGAGTGCACGAAAATTGATAGTATGGCACAAGGTATAACCTGTACAACATCATTTTTTATTAATCATTTTTTTTTATAGAGAACCACAAGGGCGGGGTTGAGAATCAACTTAAATCAACAAGCAAAATTTTAAGTGGTATACTACGTAGTATTTATAAATCAGACACTTAAAAGTAAGGCAATAAGTAAGGGAATAAATGACAACAATTAGTATAGCAAAATCACACTATAGTTGTTGAAATACTTTTAGAAAATAATCACAAGAAATAGTAATACTAATGAAATTATAAAAATAATCATCAAAATTTAAGTATTAGACAAAGTGAAGATTATATGTTACCACATAGTAGAGGGGCATGGTGTCGAGCTCTTTATTATAAGAAGCATTCAACTTGAATCGTAACATATAAATCACCCAAATAGTAGCAGCCAGAGTTAAGGAGTCCAGAAATGTATGAATGTCACCTTCAATCATAACACTACATACAAGTCTTGCAGCTAAAAATATAGCTGTTAGTTCTTGAGATTTTAGTGACAACCCTGTTAAGATTACAAAGGAATTGAATCAGCACCATATATATTTGATTATTTCAATAACATATAAAGTTTAGTATATGCTAACTTTGTCATATTGATTGATTTAGTTGTCGTATTACTCATATTATTGTTAGTTTAAATTGTAAACACCATTTAAAGGATCAATTTATATGTAGTACGAAGTATGAGTTATTGAGCTAACTTTGTAGGTAGTATGAGCAAGTATTGTTATACTTATTTTTAAGATAGGTTGGTTTATATTTGAATCAATGTGTAAGCTAGTTGCGCTATAAAAAGTTGTGTTTTTTTAATGGTTAGAGAGTATAAGAGTCTCTTTGTCACCCTTGCATTGAAAAGAATTATTGTTTGAGAAAATCTGAGCTAGGATCGATGATACACAACCAGAACTCTAAGTAATGTACTCTGTACTTATGAATCTTTTTATTTAGTTGTCATAATGGTATAATTCTAAGTTAAGATATGATTGTAAACTTACTAAAAAAAAAGCCACTAGATGACGTCAACTAAATTTCTAAATAAATACATAAACACATACACTTGATTGAAAAGGCGAAAACCTTTATAAATAATCGAGGAGGTAATTTTATTAGCCGCATATACATGCATGTTATATGACTATATTTTAGCTTAGAACCAATGTGTACCAATCTAGGAATGCAAAAAAAAAAAAAAAGTCAAATTTTAAATGGTTGGAGAGACGAGTCTATCATAAGTTCATTGGTCCCAAAATCCAATTCCCTTTCATCATCCAAAAAAAGAATTGGAGTTCAAACATATCTAAAAATTTTGAGATGATAATAACAAACATTACAAAAACTCAAAATTATATTTTTATAGATCTATCTATTCAACTACCAATTAGAAAATTGATACATTAAACCACATTTTACCGAAATTTCATCTTTAATCAACAAAGTTTTATAAATCCCATGTTAGCATATAATTACATATTTTCCTGATTAAACAATTATATGACTTGAAGCTAGTCCTATTACTCCTTTTGTACATTTTGAAACAAATACAATTGTATAATTTGAATACTTATCTATATGAAGTATATATACGTACACCTAAACGAAAATTCTTAGAAATGACCAATAAAGTAATTTATACATCATACGATATCAACTTATTTTATAAATAAACATGTAATTAATAATTAAAAATAAATAAATAAATAAATAAATTAAAGCATATAATATATAAAATTGGGTTTTAAAAGTGTTGAACCATACCAGAACAAGATCGATGAATGGTGAGCTTATAAATCAAGATCAAAATCCCAAGAGCATGAACAATTTCAGAGGCAACAAAAAGATTATCATGATTTCTTACACTTAATTTTAATGCCACCAAACTAAACAAGGTTATTATGGCTCCCAAAATAAATTTAAAAATAAAAGATCGTCTTTGAAACCATTGGGTTAACGCTTTTACTGGTGATGTACCCCTTCGTTTTCCCATTAAATGAAATTCTGATAAAATGCAAAAATATGGGAAGGGTGAATTGAAAGTTTTTAATTGATTAATTTGATTTTAAGAGTTTGTGAGTTCTCTATTTATATTACAAATAATAATATTGAAAGGGGGGCTTGAATGATTTGGAAATAAAGATGATATGAATCATAAATGATTTGTATCCATATTAGAGTGATTCACTATAATAACTACTCTGTATTAGATATTAATTCGATAATTCATGAAATGGTGTAATAATCTTAATAAATATACCGCGATTTTTGTGTGTAGTCGTGTGGTCAGCTAACACACGAGTAACCCATTATTAGATAACTTCTAACCAAGTAACTCCTGAACGACTAAGTAATCTCCGACCAAGCAAACCAGACCAAGTAATCCTTAACACGGTGTGGCCAACCACATATAAAAGTTTGTGTTTAAGATTTTATCCTAAATACCTCACATCAAACCTTCAAGCATAAAAAATGATAAAAAAGAGTACTTCATTTATGCACAGTACAAAATTGAACATATAAACATTACAACTCAAACTCTCAAACCTGAGTTTAACTAGAATTTGTTATATACACCCATTATACAATACACCTGGGTGTACAAAATAGGCTCTTGAGTTTAACGAAAGTGAGAATTTTGTTGACCTTAGTCTAAACAGATCAAACCCATACCCGATTACCCAGCCCAAAATTGTGTACAGGTCCAATCGTGCACTTAAAACGAAAGCACATAAATTTATTCCTGCAATTTGTACGCTTACTCTTTCTTTTCACTTCAGTTTCAGAATTTCTGGGTTTTTCAAGTTTCAATTTCATGGAGTTTGGAGCAGCAGTATCTTCTTCTTCTTCTTCTTCAAGGGTTTTAACTAACCACCATTTATTTTCTCTCTCCTCCAACAAAACTCCATTGAAAACCAACCTTTTTCCATCAAAGGGTTTTTCCTGTTCTCTCAAAAAACCCTTTTCTTGCACGGCCGCTATCACCACTAATAACGCCACCATTTCTCCTTCTAAGGTATCATTTTTTCCATTAATTATTCATTTTTATTGCTTTTACTTAAATGGGTTTTATTTTTAAATTGTTGGGTTTTTCTTGTAATTTACTGACATTGAAGTTTTGGAATTAATTTGGGTTTTGAATATGCTGGATTGAGTTTTTGATTCTTATTTTATGTTTAAAATGGTTGAATTTTAATGGCAGGTGAAGGGGTCAAATGAGGGAGATTATAGTGTGTTTGAGCTTTCAAGTTTGACAGCTTTATCTCCCTTGGATGGCCGATACTGGAATAAAGTTAAGGAATTGGCTCCATTTATGAGTGAATATGGGTTAATTCGATACCGAGTTATTGTTGAGGTTTGATTATTGAACTTGGAAGTTAAAATTCTTACAGTTTTGCAATGCATGTATGGAACTTTGATTTATTGGCACTGTTTTTTTCATATGAAACTGTAGTTTAGTTTTGTATTTGCTTCTAAGAAGATGCATTGGGCATTGAAAGTATGTTGTTATCGCCACAAATTTTACAATATTGTGCCTACATAAATCATAAAACTAGTTTAATGTAGGGAAAGTGATTGTAAAAGATAATTGTGTATCGTAGTTAGTTACACATAATCAATTGGTTTATATATGGATGAAGTTTTCATGAGCCAAATATAGACAAGAAATAATTTACTTGTTTAGTTAAGCACTTAAGCTGAATTTTTATTGTCCTATTTTGTGATGAAATTGTCTGTTTGATTCATATTATCATTTCTTCCTTGTGTTTCTGTTATCTTAGGTTTATAATTGACATTCGTACTGCAGATTAAATGGTTAATGATGTTGTCCCAAATTCCTGAAGTAAATGAAGTGCCGAGCTTTACTAATGAAACACATCAGTATATGCAAAGCTTGATTGATGATTTTGGCATGGCTGATGCATTAGAAGTGAAAAATATTGAGAAAGTGACCAACCATGACGTGAAGGCAATCGAGTACTTCCTGAAGGATAAGTGCAAGTCCCATCCAGAGATCTCTAAGGTTTTGATTTCAATCTTTCGCGGAATGATATTGAACTTTGTATTAGTAATACCGAAACTTCAAAGAATGCCTTGGAAGAAATTGTTCTATATTTACCTTTTCCATCCCCGGTTCTTATTGCAGGTTTTGGAGTTTTTTCATTTTTCTTGCACATCTGAGGATATCAACAATCTTGCTCATGCATTGATGCTCAAAGAAGCATTGAATAAAGTTTTATTTCCTGTAATGGATGAAGTTATAGGAGCAATATGTAACATGGCCAAGGAATACGCTGATATTCCTATGCTTTCCCGCACTCATGGACAGGTAAGTTTACATGGTAAACCTTTCAATTGTTCTCAATGAGACACTGAGTTTTGCCAGAGATTATGGGAAATTGAGGAATTTTTTCAAGAACTGATTTACCTCCTGCACCTGTATGTATGGTAAAGGGAGGAAATCATGGTGAACTTTACACAATATGTGCACTCTAGTTTAGGTGACTAATCTATACATACAAATGAATAAATGATGGGGATTTTGATGATCCACAATGAAAAGCAGTTTCAATCTCACGGAGACAAAAACCTTATTTGCCTCCTTTGTATTCTTACTTGCAAGCACTTTTAGCAGTTGAAGTTGGAAAATGTACTCCCACCCTTCTTCAGTATAGCAACGTTGCCATTTCACTAGCTCAGCTTCCAATTAGCACCATGTTCATTGTCCTGATCAGGCTACATATCCTACTAAATTAACACTTTTGGCCACTTGCATCTTCTAGTGTCAGCCATGAACTATGTGGTTGGCTGGTGCCAGGGCTTTCTTAATTTAAATATGATTATAATCTTACTTAATTTTAATATGAATAAAATATTATCTCTGAAATTTTTTGCTTCTGTAATCCCACCTTTATGTCTTTTCACATGCCTTTCTCCAAAATTGTGCTTACATATATAACTTCCTCAACATGCCTTCTCGTTATACCCTTTTCCTGGTCACTGACAAAGAGTGTGATTATTCAACAAATTGTTTGTTACTTTGTTGTGATTTGTGAACATAGATCTTTTGCCCCCAATTGTAATAGAATTGATTCCAATAGTGTGCCTAAAAAGTTTTATATGTTCTGCTTTTGCTAATCGCTGACCATTCTCCTTTCTGTGCTTATATTATGTAGCCAGCTTCACCCACCACCTTGGGAAAAGAGATGGCAATATTTGCAGTCAGATTAAGCAGAGAGAGGCAGAGACTTTCTCAGATTGAGTTATTGGGGAAATTCGGTGGTGCTGTTGGGAACTACAATGCTCATATGGTTGCATATCCTGAGATCAATTGGCCAAAGATTGCAGAAGAATTTGTGCAATCTTTAGGTTTAACTTTTAATCCTTATGTCACTCAGGTACGTTCACAGTGTTTTGTTGCAGACCTTACAGTTTACTGACCACTTTATTATTTCTTTACTCATGGTTTCTTATATGTTAAATATTAAGCTTGCTTATCTGTTGGTTTTGTTATATTCAGTTTTACTTTGATAGTTACTGTTTTGCATGAAGTTTTGTAAAGATACTTTAGATGGTATTAATTTCAGATCCCCCTGATGTATAAATTTAGGTAGGTAAGTTGCACCCATTCCCACCCCCCTCCCCCCCCCCCCCCCCCTCTCGCTGTCCTTCTCCTCCTCCTCCAAAGAAAAAGGAATTAAAAAAAAAAAAAAGAAGAAAGAAAACCCAGGTCTCCATAACCTTTTAACTTCAAAGGTCCTTTCACATGAGGTATATCTTGAGACCTATTATGCGGATCTTGTTATATGGAAACAAAATGATCATGTGTCCTTAATGAACTAGATATTAAGTATTCAAGATGTTTCAAATGTTCTCTCCTGTTGTACCTACATAATGTAATTTGGATAAGATTCCATTTTGCAAAAATTTTAAGTAAAAAAATCATTAGACAAAATTTCAAAGATTAGAAATTTAGAATTGCACGTTAAAATTTTGATACTCTGTCATGTCACTCATGTCAATTTCAATGTGGCATTCTGTCCTTGGTTGCATTTTATCTTGCTATCAAACTTGCTATATTTGCCACAGACAATGCTAATATGTTTGTTAACCTTTTAAATGATACCTGTTTTAGATTGAATTTTTACCAGTTGTATAGAAGATACGTTTGGTCATTAGTAGTTTATGGAATTATTGGCTAGAATAACAAGTGTTGGCTTGTACAATTTCTTGCTCTAGGGATCCTATAACATTTGTTAATACACATGTGCAATGTATTTGCAGATTGAACCTCATGACTATATGGCTAGTCTGTTCCATGCAACTATCCAGTTCAACAATATTTTGACTGATTTTGACCGGGACATATGGGGCTATATTTCAGTGGGTTATTTTAAACAGGTGACTTTTTTTCCTTTCCTTTTTTTAATCTTATGTGGAAGTTTCACTTAATTACTTAGTGAGTATTAACTCCTTCGTACAAAAAAAAAAAAAAAAAAAAAAAAAAAAAAAAAAAAAACTGAATATTCATCATCTGCAGTTGACTAAGGAGGGTGAAGTTGGGTCATCTACAATGCCTCACAAAGTGAACCCTATTGATTTTGAAAATAGTGAAGGGAACCTTGGCAAGGCTAATGCTGGTCTATCTTTTCTTAGCATGAAGTTGCCTATCTCACGATGGCAGGTAATGTCCTATAATTTCTTGATTAAGTTTGACTATACTGGTCTTTATTATGTCATGCTACAGTAGAATTCTTGCAGTTTCCTGGGCTTTAATTTTCATTTTTGTCCTGCCTTTTGTGATCAATATTTCACCGAAACTTACTAATTTCTTTTAAGGAAATGATAACCATTTTTGGTGATGTTGAGAAGCCTTGTTAATCTTAAAGAGTATTCTGGTCTGAAATGTGCAAAATAGTGCTTAAAGATTTGATTAACCAACTCAATCCCATTTTTTGTAAACTTGCAATATCCAAAACGCTGTTTATTTAGCATTTTCCAGGTTTACAACTTGTCTCCATACTTTTGCCACGCTATGATGGAACTATATCAACTATTCCTTTCCTGTTGCAATCTTGTTTTGTTCTTTCTTCTAAACTAGCAACGGGTCCTCTTTTAGATTTTAAGCTTTTGTTGAGTCGTATTAACTTTTTTGGCTGGCCGCTCTTTGGTCCTTTTCTTAAAAGGATACTTCTGAAATAGTAACTCTGATACCATTTTTCTTGAGAATGGGTTATGTGGCCCAAATGTGTATGTTATTGTCTTATACTGGTCTGGATGCTGTGGGCTGGATAGGTGAATTCATAAGATGTGGACATGTGGTGCCCTGTACTAGTTTGAATCTGAATTAAGTAGGTTCTGGGAAAGCAGAAATTTTACCTTTATATTCTAAATTGGCTGCATCTTGCTGAGTTTTAACTCAATGTATACATTGCAGCGTGACTTGACTGATTCAACAGTTTTGAGGACAATGGGTGAAGGATTAGGGCATTCTCTACTAGCCTACAGAAGTACCCTGCAGGGTATTGGTAAACTTCAGGTCAGTAAAACACGCGTTGTGGTTCTTTGTAACTGTTTCATTTTGTACAAGCGAATAAGGAGGTTTCTTGACCTGTAATTGCTTGGTGCTACAGATATACAATTGCATAATTTCTATGCTTTTCTGATTGTGTTTCCTGCTTTGACCTCGCTAGAATATTCAGAAAATGATCATATTGGAGAACAATATTTATAGCATTACTAAAAATCAGTGGACCTCTCAAGCTTCTACTTTGTACACCTCTACAACATCATACTTGCTGTTAATATCTTTTCTTGTTGTATTAAGTCTTTACTGTTTACAAAGTTAAATGAGGTCTTTTCTACATACCAAATGCCCTTTTTGGTCATTTCCGTTAGTTGCTCTACAGTCTACATAAAGAATTAGCATTTTGCTTAAAATTAGGTTTTGGTATCTGTAAGAAGTAAAAGCATCTTTTTATATTTCACTATTGCCAATTTGCACTTATCCTTTTGGTTACTTTTTGTATCTCAATCTGATAATGTATGAACACACAGGTGAACCAAACCAGGTTGGATGAAGACTTGAATCATTCGTGGGAAGTACTTGCAGAGCCTATACAAACAGTATGTAACTCTATCATATGCATTTACTCCAAGTAATAAATATTACCATTGCATTCTTGGCAGAAAATTATAGATCCTGCTTTTTACTTTTAATAAATAATTGTAGTGTCAATATCTTTGTATATTTCCGTACTCTAATGAAGGAATGAGTTGATAACTAGTAAAAGATCCTATTTTGGCGGACTTTCCCCACATACTAAAAAGGAAAATATAGCGAAACTCTACACTGATAGAGACATAGAGTAGAGGATATTGGTTAGCTTTCTTCCACATTTATTTTCATTTCCTGACACTTAGTTGAGGCTATGCTCAATTGCTCATCAAACAAGTAATCATATCTACTTCAAAGACTGTAGGGTATAGCTTACATGTGCTTGGTGAGTTGCATGACTGTGATTGTCTCAACTGGTAACTGTCCAGGAACTTTAATATTTACAAGAAAGATTTTTATGCTGCCACGTTTTTACGAATTTGTAAGATTTTTATTCCAATTCCTTTTACATGCTAGTCCATTGTCTATCATCGAGAGATTTTAAGACCTCCACACTGTTTGGAAAGTTAAAAGACTAGATTTGACTCAATTGACCGTAAATTTAGCTATAGATCTTCAGAGGACTTTGAAATTCTAGTAAAAGGAGAGGTTGAAGTTGTGAAAATTGGTTAATTCACCTTGTTGGTAAAATTTGATTGTCTTTCTTACATAGCTATGGTTTCCTTTGTCCTTGTAAACAATATTTTCTTTCATGTAAAGTAGAAAGTCTTCATTCAGTAATAGAATTCATGCTTTTACCCGTTTGAAGTTATGTCTACATGATTGTCTGCATCATTTGTAGTTGAACTGGTCATTGATGCGTTCATCATACACAGGTCATGCGAAGATATGGTGTCCCAGAGCCTTACGAAAAGTTAAAGGAGTTTACAAGGGGAAAGGCAGTCACTCAAGAAAGCATGCAAGAGTTTGTTCAAGGATTGGAATTGCCGCAGGAGGCAAAGGCCAATCTCTTGAAGCTAACACCACACACATATATTGGAGCAGCAACCGAGTTAGCCAAAACTGTTGATTCAGCCGTGAATTTGATATTAGAATCTTCCAATTGAAGATATTTCAGTTCCGTGGCAGTAGCTGCTTTTATATCAAGATTATAAATGTCATTACCAATTGCCAGGTGACTTTAACTAACCTCATGTACAAGTCCTGTTATCAGGACTAATTACCTGTTTAGCATGATTACTGTTCAGGAACTTGAGTTCTTAGAAGGCATTGAGGTTTTTTTGTGTTGTAAAATTTTGTATCAACTATTTATGCTACAATAATTCAAATATTCAATATAAGTATTTTTCTTAAAAAATTTGCAATAGTTTTTTTCGTTTTTATTTTATTCTCCTTTTACCCCCCTCCCTCCACACACAAAATAAAATAAAATAAAATAAAAACTTTTTTTTTTTTAAAAAACAAAAAAAAAAGTGAAAAAGAAGATAATAAGAGAGTGAATGAATGAATGTACTTGACCATGCAACTGGAAATCATTCAGTCTAAAAATGAGGACTTTAGCCATAGATAATTAACTTACAAGCTATTCAGACAAATCTTATTTACTACATTATCTTACAAAGAATGTCATTCTCACATTAGTCAGAAAAAAAAGGCCTCAAATAATGCCAATTGCCAAATACACATACAGTTTTCACATCAAAGAGGGTCATGACTTATGACTGACTCTCCCCTTGAATCTCAGTTGTTGCTTGTTACCGGGCACATCTGACGACATGTAGGAAGACATGTTCATCACACGGAATCCATAGTCGTGGCGGTGTGGTGGAATCATCGTGTTGGTCTCTAGCTTGGTCTAGCAGAGCTTTAAAAAGCGGGTGTTTAAGCAAGGTGATTTTGATAACGTACCTCTTCTGATCATGGCCAACGTATACAACCATATGACCCTTGGGCACATCCTTAGGGATGAACTTTTCGGCTTCTTGCTGTAAACTCATCAACGGCCAAAAACACCATTGACAGCAAGACTCACATTCATACTCTGATGAATGTATAACTTTGCTGCTCATTTTCCTGCACTTGTTTAAGGATACTTGGAAGAACTTACCCTTCATTTTTTTTTTAATTTATGCTGAAACTAAAATAAAAGAAAAGAAGTTTCTTTTCTTAATTGATTTTTCTTCTTTTGTTTGTTGATTTGTTGTGGGTATGTGTGACTGATATGAGAGGAATGTGTGAGAGGGGAGTATATATAATGTGTACCTTGAAAAGTGCCAGCTCCAAGGCCTTTAATGTCTCACAAAGAGGACCCAAATAATGCTGTCTTAGTGAGAGGTGAGAGAGGGTGCTTTTTCAGCCATAGGTAATAAGGATCAAGTCATGAAAATGTTTTCTGATTTATTATTCCAAATCTAATGCAACTGTGTGTATGTCAACTATCGTAGTTCAAGTGTCCATTCTACATTCGGTATAAACTCACATCCTATCATAATTTTCTAATATAAGTGAAGGTATTTATTTCGCGAACTCTTAGATCGAATCTCGTTCGCACCCTTACCTTTGGGCTAATTGGGATTCGAGAATCAGTTTTGGATGGTTATGTTCCAGTCCCCTCCCAATTGTTGTTGTGGGGAACGCGATTCTCCATGCGGCCTCAATTACCATTGCACCTACAGCCAATGGGTTTATATTCTCCAATTTTATGTCATTATTTACCTTTTTTTTTAAAAAAAAAGATTTTCCTTATAATATAACTAAAAATCATTATATTTACTTATCCCCATATATATTAACCTTATTTTTAAGAATTTACACACTTTTCTATTACGCTTATCATTCCGGTGAAAATAAATATGATAAAAGACACTATAATATGGGATGAAGAAAGTATTGTATACACTTTCATAGTTTCCATAATACCATTTTTCTAAAAGCACTATAAATTTACTTACAAGTAGATATATTTGCATTTATTAATGTTAAACTTTTGGACCGGTTCCTTAAAATAAGATATAATTATAAAAAACTTTTGGGTTGGTTAATATATCTGATTAAACTGTGTTAATTATTCTAAAGTGGATAAAGTATATAACTCGTATTTTTTTTTGGTGGCGGATAAAGTATAATTATGATTAGTTTAATACGAGTACGAAGCATTTTTTAAAAAGACAAAAGAAATCCCCACGTACAAATAAATTGGAAAAAGGTACACTGTACTGAACCGAATTTACATCTGTTTATTAGAGCTTTAAATATTTATACGTGCACTAAATCGTACCCTACTATATTTTTTTTTTATTTTTTTTAAATGTACCCGAAATAATAATATACGTTGTAGGTCTCTCTGCCATCGATCGATTTGGTGTACCTCCTCTCGAAATTAAAGTAATTGTTGTTTTAGGATTGTATCTCTTTAATTTTATCGAATTAATGTTGTTTTAGGACCATATTTCAGGCATTATTCCGCAAATATTAACGATAATAATCAAGAAAATGAGGAAATTAATGAAAAGTGGGCACATTTTTATTTTATTTTATTTTATTTTTTTGTTAAAATTGATACTTTCGCAATTTCATAAATATTGTAACAGGGGTAGAGTTTTACGGATAACAAAATACAACTTTAATAATTTAATTATGGAAAGTATGGATTATTAAAAGTTGATAGTTTGAATGTATTATCAAGAAAGATCTATAACAAGATTAAAAGGACTTCAGAATATAATTTTCTTTACAAGTAATTGTAAATCATAATGTATGGTTATGAAATAAAACAGGGTATTATTGTAAATAATATTAAAGTTGAATATTGCAATTCATATAAATGGAGAAAATAAATAATTTATAGAGAGATGTGTATTATTAAATGAATTAAATAATCCATGTGGTGTGATTAATGAATTTAAATAAAAAAAATTGAAATCGGAGTAAAACAAAAGGTAATGTTATATGTAGTCCTTAGGGCTATGAATAAACATAAATTTAATAATGTATGACAAAATCACGCGCATATTATTGTAATTAATGTTAGATTTTCATTTTTTTTTTCACTTTTAACTTCTTATATATATGTAGCCCTAAGGGTTACATATGTATATCATTTTCCTAAAATAAAAGTGAAATGATTTTTAAGGAACATAAGTAAATGGAAAGTAGGACTATCTTTCTATCATGTTTATTCTTTAAAATTAAGTATTAATTTTTACTGAACTAAAATCATTTTACTGAACTGAAATAAATTTTACTTAATTGAACTTAATTTTACTGAACTAAACTTATTTTCCTGAACTAAAATTATTTTTACGGAATACTTGTATTATTTTTATAAGGTAAAGTGAACAAGACCTTATATACAATATTTTCTTTTCCCTACATATAAGGTTTAAATAAATTTATTGTAGATGTTGTTTGGCTTATTATTAACGATATTGTTACTCCTCTAGAAAAAAGCTTAGATATGAGGTTTAAATAAATTTATTGTAGATGTTGTTTGGCTTATTATTAACGATATTGTTACTCCTCGAGAAAAAAGCTTGAACAGTGTGTCATACCATTTTTTAACAACACTTTAAAATTATTTTTCTTTCTTTTTGAATTTTTTATCGATCCCCTAAAATTAAAATCGGGAGATCGAGATCAAGCTTTAATCAACTGAATTAACCCCCACTCTCATCCTTTGTGAAATAATGTTTTATTTGGAAACCATAATGTCTTGTCCTATAGTGTGTTATACAACAATAATGTTATTAAATTATATATTTAACACCTTTTACATATCGTCATACCTAATATATATCAATACTTGTACTAGATTGTATAATTATTTATCATTAACACCTTTTATACATTTAACACATTGTAGTGTTTATGTCATTGTGTGTATAATTATTGAAGTTAGCATATACATATTTTCTAAAAATTCATACTCGCAATAGGTTGCATATAATATTAGTACAAGACAAGATAGAGCATACGAGGATGGCTTCATCTGCACTTGTGAAAGTGTCAATTTGACACAGATTACTAGCTAGCTTGAGACTTCTTCCAATTGTAACGTAGTTCTAGTGAATAATCTAGTTATTTCTAGACAATTAGTTAAGGTTGATTTATTGAACTTTGGATTCTAGTAAGACCATTTGGCTTGTTATTCGTGTATCTTTGTGTGTATGTACGTAGTAACTAGTTTATCCTTAATAACTCTAATTAAGTTAGTAACCTTTTTGATTAAGTCTTGAGAATATTAGACATGTATATAGATCAGAGATCAAATCTCATCTGCAACACTTGCTTGTATCAAAATAATCAACGCTACAAAGTGAGCTACTCATCGATAGTAGAGCTTCATCTCCGGCCTAAAATAATGAAAATTCGATATCCTCCAACGACAACCATTGTCATTGAATTTTTATACACAACCTACAAATAATTTAAGAATATCTTTAGTCAAGGCCAACAACGTTAATAACTAATTAATAGTACTCCTAGTGAATTGTTCAAGGTACAAAATTCTTTATTTCTGCACTTTGATAATAATAATTTAGTAGACTATACTATATAAGTATATATTGCTAGGGATTGGAGAAGTCCTATAATTCTGTTTCACCCATGCACATAAATTTGACTTAAGAGTACGCAATTTGATACGAACTGTGTACGAAACTGATGTACATGCATGGGTGCACAAATTTTTTTAGGGTTTCTCACAAATTATACCCCACCAAAAATCTAGATGAATTGAAGAAAGAAAATTATAAAAATTAAAATTAAAAAATAAAAGATAAAAAGATAAGATGATAGAGTATGAATTATGAAGAGAGGGGTGGGAGTAGATTTGTTTTTAATCTTCTTGGGGTAAGTGCGATGCCCATGTTGATTTGTAAGTTGCAACATTCCACATTTATTGTTCTCCATGCATTTCGTTACAGCTACTTCAATTCTTGATCTTGTGAATTTCTATTATTATTACTCCTTCCGTCCCATTTGGCTTTAATCTATCGTCACATTATTTTTAGCGCTCTCTCTGTTCCTTAAGGTTTGCCACGTTAGATTCTTTTTCAACAGATTTCAACGCATAATTTGAACTACGTTGTGTATAATTTATATATACTGGGTATTACATATGATCAAGAGTATCTGACTATGTTTATATGTTCAGTTCACCTTATTTCATGAAAAATAGGTTCAAATATGATTAATTAATCAAATAGCTAAGACATAAATCGGCTTGAAAATAATTTAGATTCGTATTATTGTGCACCTTAGAATTTATATGAGTACATAGTTAACGTTTTGACATTACATACGTATTGAGAAGAATTTAACAGGATTCCAGCAGACGAAGTACACTTTTTTCATTTATCGATGAACATTGTATAAAAATTTAGAGCAATGATTAAGAGAAGTGTAGTGTTTTCTAAGCTTTAGATGGTCTTTAAATCGTACGACTTGACCATATTTTTTCTTTGGCCTCTAATAAAGCGAAAGGTGATCTAACAAAGATAAAGAGGGAGAATATTTATGGTGGAATCCTTCACAGAGGATAAAATAATTTTCCACGAGTTTCTAATTTATGTAATGCAATTGGGATTGCTTTTATTATTCTTGAAAAAATCGATTATATCGATCATATCATATCATCATCCCACACGGGTGACGACCGGCAGGATAATTTAAAAGCTCTACTTAGGTATCCTATAATTGATTTGAGGTGTTAATGTGTTATGTTATCCTAGTTCAAATTAAAAAATAATACTGTAATAATAATAATATTTTTTCGTCTCATTTGAAAATCAATAATTAACTTCAAAATTCTACAGCATTAGTAAAAGTTAAATCATACTCCGTATCTTACATAAAAGTAATTATTAACATGGTGTATATCATATCCACCTTAATTCTGGAAGGTCAAGATTATATATCAAATCTTGTATTTGTTTGTTGATTTCCCCTCTTTATAATTGTCTAGCATGTAAATAATTTAAGTTGGTGAGCAACTTATCTTGTGACCTTGAGGTCACGAGTTCAAGTCCTAACTACTAGCTATAATATGCTTGGGAGTAGGGGGATTGCCTTATCTCTCCCCTCTACTCTTGTGAAGCTGAGTATAAAGGTTTTTCTTTATTGAAAATTGTAAGTCCTTGAGTCGTCTAGGGACATGTACATAGTCTAGTCAACATCATATCATTAGATATTAAAGCATGCATCTGGAACTTCCAGATGTACTTCTTCTTCTTCTAACCCAAAGCAAGCTAAGGTACATGTATATGGAGGTTGATTTTGTTTTTTCCTTTTTAATTCTCAAGAATTTCGAAGGGCCCAACAACCCTAGATCGATGGAGTCGTGAATTAGGGCATTGAAGATCAGTTTGCGAACATATTAAAATTATTTAAGCTCATAATACATGAAGTTTACTACTCCCTCCGTCTTCGCGGGTATTAATAAAGTTAAATAAAAAAAGTAGAAGTATATTGGAAAGATAA